GTAATGTTGTAACTTGTTTTCTTGAGAGCTAGTTGAATTTAGTTGCTTATATGTAATCAAAATACATTTTCTGGTATGAAATATACACCAGGTAGAAAATTTTAAAAACATTCTCAGTACTTCCTTTTCTAGATATTCTAGTCTCTTCAGGGTTTAAAAATAAATTTATTATGTTGTTATTGTTGTACATGCTGATAAAATTAATGCTCAACTATAGTGCATAAAATTGTTTCTTTTATTTATCTCTTTACTTGTTCTCTCAGACTTTGTCAATGTATACTCAAAGAAAAAAGAATCAAGGATATAGGGCTTTAATATTTCTTAAATGTACCTAACTAACTCCATGGAGTGGAATATTTCTTGATAAGCTAATAGTCATTTATAAGTCAACACATTTCCATTTTTTATGGCACCTGAAGGTTCATTACCATGTTTACAAGAGCCCACCACTAGTTCTTGTCCTGAGCCACAAGAATGCGGTATACACTCACCTACCCTAAAGATCCATTTTAATATTATTTTCCCTTAAACATACCTAGAGGTTGATTTATCAGACATCAAATGTAGGACATAAAAACTAGTTAATATAAGAATCTTATGATGGTCAGCCATATTTTCACTATGTACAGTTTTGTTTGAAAAAGTTGAAATGGTATGTTATGCATTCACAGGCAGAATCTATTGTATATTAATTGCAGATGAGAAATGTCCTTACTGAAGTGCAATATTAAAATGATAATATTGTCTGAATAGATTTAAGTTTTAGATTATATGTTTGACAGCCATATTGTTGGAATGTATTTGTACATGGTAGAATTAAGATATAGGATGAGGAAAGTGCCTCTAGATCCAGCAGAATCAAGGAATTTTAGGTTAGGGGTGGACAGGCTTCAGTACATACGCCATATTTGACATATTCTAAGTGCATATAGTGGTCAGTTTTGTTTTGTGAGTCATGGTGTTCATTGTGTACAGTTATATGTATGTCTGTCAAAAGAAGAAGTCATTTTGTTTTAATGATGAAATATTTTTTCCTTATTCATGGTTTATTTAACAAGCATTGTGGTCAGTAACTCAGTTGTATAGCATTGAAAAGATAGGATGATTAGTGAATAATGAATTGGAAAGATGTAGAAGGGTGTAATCATGGCCTAATTTATGATACTACCCAGTATATGCCTGGAGGAACTGAGGAAAACCACAAAAACTCAACATCAGGAAAGCCTGTCTGTTTGCTGAGATTTTATCTCAGTAAGTTTTGAACATAAAAAAAAAATTTCTTAGACACAATGTTTGTTCCTTGCTTAAAAATATCAAACACTAGATTTTTCTTTTAATAATACCAATAACAAGTTGGCATGTCATAGCTGCACTTATTTTGACGTAAATACATCTATACGGAAGGGTCATTCAGCAAAACAGCTTTAGGAAAATGTGTAAGATCCATACCAACAATGTGTAAGTTTGAGGTAAGGGATTCCTATTTATTATTATTGTTCATCACATTTAATGTTTTCATCTGCATTTGTGAACTCGTGTATTTATTGCCTAAATATAATTTAAATACAAAGACGTATTTACGTCAGATTCTCCGGAACCTTGGTTCCACTGTAATTTTTTTCTCTCCAATTCATTACTTGCTGCTATGAGGCTTATTACAAAACAAAAGACTACCGTCATATTATTCCCAACCATGGACAGGAAGATCACACATAATTGATTGCTGTCATTGAGCAACTTCCTTTACATATTTTGGAACAGTAGTGTTCCGTTTTTATTTCAACGAATTTCTTTACACAAAAGTACAATGTACCTGATATACAAGCAATAGGTTCAATGCTGCTGTCACAACCTTGCAAAACATTAGGAATGGATTCACAGAATGTCTCGCCACTGCATTCAAATTGGAAACACTATGCTTAAGTATATGGAGTTCCAGGCTGGTAGCATTATGCCATGTGTTGTGGAAGATTACAAGCAGTTGTTACAAATTTGTAGTCTTAATTTGAATACACTTACAGCATATCTGAAATATGACACTCCTAACTCTGTATAACATAATGTTTTAGAAAGGAAGTTATGTGCACTTTGAATCTGTTGAATTGAATGCTTGCCCACCATAAGTGAAACTGTGAGATTATATTGTATAAAATTATTCAGATGTATATTAATTTAGAAGTGTGGTAGAAACATTCCATGGGAACTAGAATTCTGATCTCAGGCATGGTTCTGGATGATGCAGTACGTAATGCTTTATTAAGTACTTTCCTGACAGGCCATATTGGTTTTGAAATGCTATTTGAATTTGAAAATGTTTTCATATACAGTTTTGAGTGCAATTCAGTATGTTCATAATTCTGTTTCAGTATTTTGCATATTGTATTAATAGAAAGTGGTTGTTTTATGATTTGAAATTAAAATACAAGGTACTCATTTTTAACACATATGTTTAAAAAATGTACAAATTTCTCACTAATATATGGAGTTCTAGACCACTGACACTAGTGTCAAAGACAATATTTTGTTATTTAATACTGTCCAATAGTGTTATCAGTTTTTGTAGAATTATAATTAAATTATACATTTTTCACATGACATTCTTACTTTTATGTATATGTTAAAGATATTGTCAACATCAAACATGTTATATTTTTGTGGACATTTTTTATGTTCAATGCATATTTTAAATACAGTTATTTTTAAAGTTCTGTCATGTTTTGTACATTATATTAGTATTATTTTAACTTATTGTGTGATAAATGTTAGGAAAGCATATTTAAAATTAAAACTTTAATGACAAGAAATGATTGCTATTATGTTTGAAACTGATATGAGTCATCTCATAGCAAATATAAAGTTATGCACAGCTGTATTTATTTTAGGGTATATTTAAATTAGTGTGCACCTTTGCAATTTATTGCACTTGTCTGTTCAAGTGTTTATTTGAAAGAAATATATATTTGTGTACATATGTTATGGTGTAATAGTCTACTTATGTTGTACATACTGACTCTTTATGTAAACTTAATCAAAAGTGTCACAGGAACTCAAGTGTAACTAACACTCTGGTAGTAGAACACAAAGGTTCAACACTGTTAACCCTTTGAAGCCCAGTGGTAACTATTTGTACCATCTCCTGCAATAATCTGTAACACTGCATTTTGTATTTATGGATTTCATATGGTTAACAGTGTAAATAGAGATTATTTTTATAAACACTATTAACCACTTGATCTTTGTAATGGTGAGATACAGACTGAATTCTTAAGTATTATTTAGATGAGCTTTGGCTTCAAAGAGTTAAAGCCAGTCTTGTGAATAAACAATACCCTGAGCCAGTTCCATCCACCTCCCTGATATCCAGCACTCTGGTTTTCTACATTGTGATACTGTGTGGTCTTGTCAGTGACATCAGAGTTGTCTAGATGCAATGACATTTGACTCTGTGCTGTAGCACCTTTTGCTCATTCCAGCAGCTGCCAAAGGCTGATTTTTTTTCTTGAGATTATTGTAAAGGGTTTGAAAAAATGGATTTATTTTTGTTTTGTAAAATTCCAGAATTTTTCTCAGTGTTAATGTCCAGATGGCTCTGATGCCCAATCAGTCTTTAGTCAACAAGTACCGGGATTTTTTACTCAGGTGAAGCATCTGGAGCGTAAATCTAAGCACTCTAATTATCTATGGTTAAGAATGTGTGGATCTTTATCTCCACTCCCCCATACGTCTGCATGTCGTAGTTCTTAGTTAATCACAGCGGATAACTTTAATTTACCTGGACTTGAAAAGAACTTTACAGTTGAAATGGATCGTATATGTATAGAATGTGAAGTGGATTCAAATGGCTCATATGTTGGTATTATTGTGCTCATGAAAGGGCACGCGGTGACTGTCAGCTGTTCATGAACGTCCGGTCAGAATGGAGATGGCTTTACGCGTGGTGCAGACGTTCACATGCTTAAGTTTGTAATTGGAGGTACTGATTTCTTAAATCGTATTGAGTTTGGAGAAAATTAACATGTGCTGAAACGTAATATTGAGTGTTATTTAGGTGATCCGTGATTTTAGGTGACGTTAATGCTACTGGAGAATTGTTTGGTTAAGCACATTTCCCAAGAACAACATCGTGGTTATTAAATCTGCGTTTTGGAAGACACGACGAGAAGAAGGAAGTGGCATTCCTATTTAAGATTGTGAGCTTATATATGTTAAATTAGTGTCCTTTTTAATTTCTGAAATTATTATTCTGATGTACGGGGAAAGTGTTACGTAATAATATAACCTCTATATATGTTAAGACGTTTATTCAATCCCTTTTATCGGCCAGTGTTAAGATGTTTTTTATAACAGATTTATAAAAGTAGAGAGGTATATTTATTATTATTCAAGTAGAATATTTGACATATTATTGTCGTAATTTATATTCCTTGGTTAACATTAGGTTTATCTGAGAAATAACATTTTATATAACTTTGTTTCTAATAGCATTATTGCAAGCATTTCTGAAGGATAAATCACTTTTATGCATGTAGTTATTATAATAGGAACTATAGCTCTATTCTGGAGCAGTAGGCTTTTAACAAATATATTATTGGACATGAGATGCTGGAAAATTATGAATACCAATAGAAACGACTTCCATGTTAAAGTGTAGAACCAAAACAGAGTATTAAAATAAGCTAGAACTACTTCAGATTTTTTAAAATTTATCACTTAAGTGGTGGTTGTTACTGAGGACTACAAGACAATTTTAATATAACACAGATCTAATGGCCAACTGTTGCAGCTGTTATCACTCCTGCTAAATGTTTAGGAGATCCCAGGTTCATACCTAGGCCTGTAGACCTGCCATCCTGAGGTTGTTTGTGGTTTTCCTCAATGTTTCCAGGCAAATGCCAGGATAGTATCATGAAGTAGTTCATGACAGATTTCTTCATGTCTTACAATTCATCATTCATTAATCATCCTGTTGTTTGATGCTATGTAATCTGCGCTACTGACAGCATCATGAAATAAACCACAAATAAATAGATATGAAAATGCAATGTAACAGTTACAATAGACTTTGGCACCTTGTACCATCTTCCAGTGATTTATCAACTGCTTTTACACCTAAGATTTTGGTTGTACTCATTATTTCTCATATAATCTCACTCTGTTTTCCATTTATTTGTTGTTATTAACTTAACTTCTTTTGTCACTTCTTAATTTATGTTGTTATAGTTCAAACTTTATCAAAGTTACATGGTCAGTATCAGGCAGAATTGTCAGCTTGATGTTGATGTAGGGTGCTGGAGACAATGACCCTTAAAGAATTTGCATTATTTAGATGCGGTTGTTTAAACAGTTTACATTTGTACATATTTCTACATTTTTAATTTCTATGTATGTATATGTGTGTGTTAGCCTCCATGCATCTTTGCATGATGTGGTACATAGGCTGTGGTATTACTTTACCTTTCCCCATTAGCTCTGGTTTTAATGTAAAATTTAGTTTAATTCAACTCTTGAATTAAATGGTTATTTTAAATATGTTTTAATTTTAAATCTACTTTGTATAAAATGTCTATTTACATTATTTTTAACCAGCAACAAATAAAAATATTCTAACTGTATCTTTGTGTCTGTAGTTTACCTGGAGTGTGGATTTTGGACAGTTTGCCAACTTTCTCAGATACAAAGATGAAGCCACTTACATCAAAGCAGTTGCAACGATTAGAAAAGAAAAACAAGAAACTGGCAGCTTATTTGGAAATTGCAAAGTTAAATGATAAGGACAAGGAGGTGAGTGAGATGTGATGACTTCACTTATGTGTAGATATGCAAGTAATTCCCTTGTTTTTTAATATATTAAAATGTAGATCTATGGTGTTCTATCGTAAAAAGTTTGTTCTGTGACTTCAGGTCAAAACTCTGAAGCATCCAAGCAAAGAGGACTGTGAATGCTCTGATGCTGACAGTTATGCAGGTGTCACAGTTCTTGAAGAAGAACCGAGCAGGAAACGCCATAAGAAGGACAGTGAAACTGTAGTGGTATGCAATACTGGACCAAATATGATACTTTAAAACTTATAGCTGTCATTGAACATGTGGATAATTGGTTTAGATTCCCTTTTGGAACATGCATTGTGTTATTTCTTTATTATGTTATCTTAAAAACTCACAGCTATCTTACCATCTCATTGATGTTACATAACTCAACAGATGAAGAAACATTGTCATTAAGTAACAACCACTGATGACGTGTTTTGCAACATAACTTCAGTTTATCATGAAAGAACCACATTTATTGCTGTGTTTTAAATAGTTGTAAGAAATGAAAACATAAGCCTCCTGTAAGATATGTAAGTTCTTTTATGTAATTTGATTTCACAAGAGCTTTCTTTTGTCTATATCCTAAGCTGATTCAGTCAGATCCATACCTCCACTCCTTTCTGTAAGACCTGTTTTAATATTATCCTCCTGTTTCATGCCTGAGTCTTACAAGTAGTTTTCCAACTATATTTCTCATACCCTGTGCATGCTACATGCCCTGTTAGCTTATCCTTCTTGATTTAATGCCCTAATAATATTTGGAGAGGAGTGCAAGTAATGAAGCTCCTCATTTTGCAACTTCCTTCATCCTATTACTTTTTCTGCCTTAGGTCCAAATATTGCTAACAGTTTATTCTCAGACATCCTCATGCTGTGAGCTTCAATATCAAAGTTATTTCAATTTGTTAATTTGAATGAGGCTTGTGGATCTCCTAATAACTACATATGGAAATCTAGTGTTCCACATAGCAGAGTTTTGTAATCACTACAGTATATTTGTACACTTTTGTATTATGTTAGCAGGATACAGATGAGAGGAATGTGTCTGAGAGTTCTCAGCATGTGTCAGTTCCTCCAGTGGAATCTTCAGAACAACAATGTGATGCTGAGCTCATGTTGTCAAGTCCAAATAATTTTCCTCCAGGATTTTCTGATCAGGCTGTGACGGAGGAAAGACTAAGGCAGTCTGCGATTTTTCAGGTCTGCACGTTATTCCTAGCCGCCTTAGTTCTGGCTGAAGAGGACAAGAAGGACGACAGCAAGACAGTGAAGAGAGGATTGCACGACCTGGGCTTCGGAGGAGGGAGTTTCGGACACGGAGGAGGGAGTTTCGGACACGGTGGAGGTGCCTCTTTCGGAGGACACGACGGCTTCAGTCTAGGAGGTCACTCCTTCGGCGGCGGAAGTTTCGGAGGAGGGGAATCCCACCACGAGAGTCACGTGAAAGCCATCACCATCACCAAGGAAGTTAAAGTGCCCGTCCCTCAACCATACCCAGTGCATGTGGAGAAGAAGGTCCCGTACCCCGTGAAGGTCCCTGTAGCCGTCCATGTTGACAAACCCTACCCAGTTCACGTCCCCAAACCATACCCTGTCTACGTCGAGAAGAAGGTCCCTTACCCTGTGGAGAAGAAGGTCCCTTACCCTGTGAAGGTCCCTGTGAAGGTGCCGTACCCAGTCCCTCACCCTGTCCATGTCCCTAAGCCGTACCCTGTTCACGTGACTAAACCAGTCCCTGTCCCTCACCCAGTTTATATCGAGAGGAAAATCCCGGTTTACCTCAAGAACCATGACGATAGCTACGTGGGACTTGAGGGTCTCGGCTTCGAATCAAGTCACAGTAACTATGGTTACATCGGTGACTCATATTAGATCCATTGATGAGAAGCAATTTTTTTATCATCATATCATCATTATCAAATCATCACTTCCATCACTGTCATAATTTCATTTTACCAACACTCAAGTCTCCTGATCACATTCATAACCATAATCACTTCATGGCATATGAAAAATTTGTGCGACACATTTGCTTCTGTAAAATTGCTCAGTCTCAATAAATTGTACTTAAGAAATTTGTGGTTCCATATTACATCTCTGTGGGTCATTATAATGTGCTTATTATAATACAATATATTATTACACTTTAAAGTATTGTTAAAACCACTGTTGATACGTGAATTTCGCAAGCCTACATGGTGCGATTTATACTTGTAATCTTATATGAGTTTCATAAATACAATAAGTATTCACTTATACGCCTTTAAAGGTTGATATGTTATTTATGTCTGTATTTAATACAGATATGTATCATAAACAGATGTGAAATACAAGAGTGACATTTTGGGACATAATTCTATGCACAAATAAACTAAAGTAATATATGCAAACACTGGCCTTGAACGCGTAATCTTTGAGTTAAGGCCCGTTTTATTTTGGAAAAAGAAAGTTAAGATTTTAAAGTAAACCCATCCACAAGAAAGTGTCTATTCACATATCGCAGATGATGCTTAACATATTAACGTTCTGACGACAACACATTACAAAAGGAGACTCAGTGTCACGTTCTCACGTTCGACATCTCATTATAATCAGAAGAACGTAGTTTTGTTAACTACATTATTAATAACAACCATGCAGTTTTTCGTACTTTATTTTTCAGTGTGTGGACAAAAATAAATCTTTGTTCGAAATAGTTTCTTTACGAAAAACACAGCCCGAAACAAAACACGACCAAACCTCCTGAGAGCTTCATACGTCTCGTGAGCTACTGTTTGAATACCTCTGACCTATATAGGTGGATTCAAAAGGTTAGGGCCAAACTGAATGAGCATATAGAGGGACTCAGAGAGAACGACTTTCGAATAGGAATCCATGTCTTCATTATTATTATTATAATTTATTTACTGCAATTGGGTTTGAATCCGGTGGCAGTGGTCCTTACACTACACAATTACAACAAAATACATACAATAAAGACAAGTACATTCCATAGAACACCCTACACACATAACTAGAAAAACCACCCTTCAAAAACACACATCCTTTAAGAAATCTCAATACTTTAGAGTAAACTCAAATACAAAGTCCGCCCTCAGTACATGAAAATCTTATCCCAAAGAACTACGAGACTAAGACACTTCACTTCCCTTATCACCATCTAATCCCCACTTAATAACCCTTTGATTGTAACTACTTTTCTGGCCCTCTTTCTAAAGGTGCCTAATTTACAGGGGAAAGACTCTAGCACGCCTGGAGGTAATTGGTTTCAGCTTCTAATGGTCCTATTTACAAAGGAATATTTGCCTACATCCGTTCTTTGTTTCCTAGTCCTAATTTTCAGAGTATGATCGTCCCTGCCCAGGTAGCATGGCTTTAGTAATCTATCCCCTATCGTTTTCCAAGCCCGGCCACCGTTGTTTGCTTTGGAAAAGGCGCACATTCGGGCTATCATTCTACGCTGTGCCGATGTTTCCCAACCAGATTCGTTCGTGTATTTTGCAAATTTAGCCGCTCTCTTCTGCACCCTGTTTAGGGCTCTTACCTGCCCTCTGTATGGGTCCCAACACACAGCTCCATGTTCAAATATCGGTCTCACTAACGACGTATAAGCTAAACGTTCCGTATTGTTATTATTACTCGTCTCTGTTCTTACTTCATGCAAAGCCTTCTGTTGTCCAGTTGATGAATGCCGCGTTTCCCTGGTTGTCCTCGTTCTGTGAGTGCCATCCACCAAAACGTGTCACGTCTTCCTCCATGCTCATCCTCCACCATCGGGTCCACTAACCCTAGCTTACAGTTGTCCTAATCGTCTCCTTCCTCGTCCATTCAGATGCAGTCCATCCCCAGCAAAATCTCCTTCCTGTATCCAGCTGTTCGGATCAACAAATGTAATTACAAGGACGTTTGCAACCCAGTCGAATCTATCATTAAGAACTCCAATACGCCGCCATGGTATTGATCAGATTCCAGTAGAATTGGTATGAGCAAGAGGTAATAACCTGAAATAATTAATACAGTAGCTTTAAAATAACTGAGCTTATTTTGTTAATAAAATATATTGTCCTATATTGTTTATGCACTCCTAATACATGTATTTTTATTTATTTCCCTAATTAATTTATAATATCTTGATTTCAGAGTAAGTTTAGATCATCTCTTCAAAACTATGAAAATAGGGGTTTCACTGTACTTTATCAAGGTTGAAGTAGATATATGTAAGCTTTAGATTACTACTGACATGTGTTGGATATTTGCACAGCTAGCTCAAATACAGAGAAGTAAAGGAATGCAGAGAAGCATGTATTTTTATTACTAAGCTATGTTTTGTTTTACCTGTGATCATTTCTTTTATTCAGAGTTTGGCAGTTTAGAGGTTGCCATGAAGCACAAAGAAGATTTAATTAAAGTGATGAGAGCTATATTCCCTGTTGTTGAATCGACGTGCATTTCACATCAAATTCCGCGACCTGTATCTGATAAATACTCTCGCACACAGCTGCTCCTTTCACCTGCACAGCTTATTGAAGAGAACTATCCTCTGCCATTGAAAGGGGCGTTTCGTGCAAGGTGAATTCTGCTGTGAACTTATTTAATTTGTTGGTACAAACTTCAATACAGTGAAATTCCAGAAAAAGGAACACTTATTTGGATCTTAAACAGTGTAAGGATAGATGTATAATGTGATTAAGTCATTAAATAAGATGCATTTGAATTATTTTTGGGAGGGGGGGGAATATTTATTCACTACATACTCATTGCCATACTAATTGCCTTGTTTATTTTTATATTAAATATAATTTCCTAAGTATTCGTATATTATGTTGATAGATATGAAGAATTTGTCCTGACAAAGGACTTATACCATGAAGTAACTCACGATTCTCCAATGTTTGGTTTGGACTGTGAAATGTGTCGTACTACTTCAGGAGACTTGGAAGTCACTAGAGTATCTATTGTTAATGAACAGTTGGAGGTAAGTGCCAATCCTTGTACAGCTACCTTACCACAGATTTCCAAAATTTTCTCATACCTAAAGTAGCATTTGTTAAAAATTATTTCCATCTATGTAAACAAAATTTTAGTTAATATTAATATTTAAGTAGTTTTTTGTTGCCTGGACAGAAAAACAATTTTAACACATTATTTTACAGCAATTACACATCAAGGTATGCTTCAAATGAAAATAGGAAGTGTTCCCCTACACTCATATACATTGCAAAATAAACACTTTACATTTTCAGATAAAGCCTTCAGTTCATTTTTAATAAGATGTTCATCTTACTTTTCTGTTCTGTAAAACCTACAGTACCTAATTCATATAAAACATCGTTAACTTATGTTGTGCAGGATTTAAATTGCTGTATGCGGGTCTGGTAGCTGTATTTTGAATTGTGGATTTATCTAGTAACAGCATGAGTACTAAGAATGTGTATATCTTGGCAACTGTTCTTGCTAACATATTCTAGTACAAATTATTTGAAAGGAAGTACATTACTGATTTTCTTGTGTTATTCTTCATTAGTATAAAAATTGTTTGTGAAAAAGTGATAGATTACTAAAATAAAGCAAAATATAATGTGTATAAATCAAAATGCACAGCACTTTGCATTTCTAGTTTCTGTCATTTCTTGCAGTATAAATTTACCTTTATGTGGTAAATATGAAAACACTGGCCTGACTTTGCACTTCCAGCACTGAAATTTGGTAGTCATCTGCTTCTTCTTGGTCGAGTACACATGACACTGTAAGTGCAGTCCTGCAGCCGTATGATGCTCACTTGATTGGCTTTTGGATTGTTCTTCTCTTGGGCTGGATTAAGAATGACACTCCTTTGCTCTTATTTCCTGTAGGAGTTTCCTTCTACTTGTGGTTTATGCCATACTAAAGTTGTCTATAAGTGTGATGATTGTATTTACGTCTTGTTTCTTTCACTTAGGTAGAATATGGACTAGGTAAATTGAATTTATTACAAGTACTTTGTGACTCAATCAGTATGATTTTAATTGACAGGTTGTGTATGAGACTCTTGTGAAACCTTACAATCGTATCACAGACTATCTTACCCGTTTTTCTGGAATCACAAAAGAGTTGCTTGCTGATGTTGTTGTGAGACTAGAAGATGTGCAGGAAGCTATCAGAGCATTATTGCCTCCAAATGCAATTCTGGTTGGTCAGTCACTCAACTTTGACTTAATAGCACTCAAGGTAAGGTGTATAGTGTGATTACAACATTTATTGTGACTTTTTTTCAAATACAAGTTGCCTTTGTGGAATGAGCCAATAATTGTTTGACATTACATAAATGTAAAATTATACAGATGTGTTTCTTAAATAAAATAATGTTTTCAGATATGTAACAAGGCTATTATCAGTTTCCTTCATTTGATGGTAATCTCATACTTAGGAATATGCGTTTCTATATCTGTATTTATAAACCAGGCAGGAAATATGACATTCCTTGTGACAGGTGGTAGTTAAAGAATTAATATTTTTGTAATAAATGGAATTGTAATGGTTTATTGTTGTTTAATTTGTTAGATGATGCACCCATATGTGATTGACACAAGTGTCATCTACAATATCACTGGTAATCGTTTTCGGAAGACAAAACTTGCATTGCTTGCACAAAAATTTCTTGGAGAAGAAATTCAACAGGGCAAAAAAGGACACTGTTCTGTGGAGGACAGTTCATCATGTATGAAACTTGCCCAACTAAAACTTGCTAACGGTATGTTGATGTGGCTGTTTTCTGTAGTTTTGCTTTATACAGCATATGTAGTTGCAAGTTTTAATGATGAATCTTTGGAATGGTATAGAGTGACAACTTATGAAGATAGAAATTTAATTGTTATTTTAATATCAGGACCTTACAGTGTTGTTGTTGTTGTTTTTATTTTTTTATTTGGTGTATATTCTGCTTGTTATACATACCTATGCAAGTTCATCTTATCAGTAGAAATGTTGAGTTTTAACCTAATCTATAAGTAATCACAGGAGAACGGTATACCAAATTGCAAAATTCAGAGAACAGTAGTTTTAAGGGCTAATATCAGTAAATAAGACTGATGATTGTAAGTAAACTTTATATAATTTAGGCAGATCTCTGTTGTGCACATTAAAAATTAAATCTGTGACGTAACAGCTCTAGAGAGCCAAAGCCGACTAGCTTGACCGCTGGCCTCATGTTCACATGCCTAAGCAGAGGTGAACGATCATCCAACCAGATACAGGGTGACGTGTGGTCAGCACGACGAACCCCTAGCTATTGCTAGCTTTCCTTACCGGATTACGCTACTCATTGTAGCTCCCCAATTTCCACATGATGCTGGGTTGGCACAGGTCCCATACACTGGTCAAAAGCTCGTGAGAAAATTTCTTCTCCCCCGAGACTCGAACCAGCGCGCATTCCGTATCACCGGTCCAAAGCATGATGCCTCAGACCGCGCGGCTACGGCGCGGGACTTGTGCACATTGTAGGAGTAAAACTCTGCCAGACAATTATAAGGGAATGCTGACTTGCCATATTCCTTGTACTAATCTTCTGAGTTGGATACTAAGAGCCTGTGTCCCTCCGATTAGCAGACTATTAATTGAGGGAAGTTTCTGGGTGCATGGGCTCAGAGTTGTTGTTATAAGCAACTACTTAAGGCTGATAAAATTTAGAACTGATTGTAATAAGTTGCATGTCTAAACTAAATTGAATGATTTTCTGTTTCTATCACACATTAGCAGTAAAGTTTTATTGAAAATGGTCTTTGTAATGTAACAGTACATGTCATACAATGCTAAAAATTATGTATGCCTAGGTTACTTTTGTTACTGTAGCTAGTGCCTTTTGCTTGAATTGGTGGCAGTTCTGAACTTATGTTTTGTTTATCAGATATTGAATATGGGGATGCAGTCCTTGCTGGTCACAAAGCATCAGTTGCACGACAGAGGCAGGTACAGCCAACATCAGCACAGCAAGAAATTGCCACTAGCCTGTTTAGTCATGTCACTAAATTGGATAAATCAGGTGATTATTTATTACAATGTATGAACTGCTGTGGTGTCAGAGCAGGGATCATCATCTTTTCTATCTGATGATGATATGTAACGGTTACTAATACTGAATTTCTGGACTTTTTCCGTTATCTGGTATTCTGAAAAGACCACGTCATTTTCAAAACTGGATGGGTCAGTCCTCAGGTGAGAAGTTGGAAAGTATGTACTCAGTTCACTCTATTAAAATGAGTTAACCTCAGTCACTGGAGGTCCTATGACAAAAACAAAACAAATATATACAGAGGGGCCCAAAAAAATGTATACACACTTCAACAAAACAAAAACCTGTATAAAAGCTTTAATACTAAATTTATACAGACGTCAAAGGATGACTATAAGTCGTGTGTACATTTTTTGGGGTCCCTCAGTATATAATTAAGTAGGTAACATTATTGTGCTATGTTGATGGGAGAAACACAATGTTGTCATCAGTAATAAAGAGAGAAGTCAAATTACTTAGGTTTTTAATTCTTTAATTATAGTTGAGTGATCGAAGCTTGCAAGTTATTTTTAACCTGAATCAGTTCTTTATTTTATTTCAGCTGCTGTTGTGGGTTCCAAGGAAGTGGTTGACGGGTATTCAAACTACATGTCAAAGACATTGTTCAGCATTAGTGATAGCAATGAGAATATCAATAAAAATGTTCAGTGTATAGTAACTCTAAATGAGACAGTGGTGACGCAGACATGCAACATAGCACGAGAACATTCATTTACACTCTCTCATGTTCAGGTTGATCTAGCCGAAACCGATGATGATACAAGCATTATGAGACAAGTAAATATCTGGTGTAAAGCAGTCTGGGAACATATGGCATACAATGGTTTATGTGTGATCTTGTTTAGTGGCAGAAAGGGTGGTGCAAATGGCGCATGTTTTATTCAGGTCAAAAGACCACCTATGCCATGTAAGCATTAACTTCAACAGCTGTGAACAAAAGAAGTCTGCTTCTTTGGTGCGTGTACATAATTATATTTATTTACATAAACACATGCCTCCCTTTAGTCTTGAATCATCTGTAATTTTAATCAAAATAAAATCTTTCATCTTATACACCATACCAATGCTATGACATATACTGTCATCCACAAAATATTAAATATTTATTTATTTTTTATTTTCTTTTGTATTTGTGTGGTTATTTTCAGATATAATTATAACATACCTCAAATCTCCATCATCAAAATGATCTTCACAATATGTTATAACATTGTGTTTTTTACATGTGATAAGAATGTGTAAACCAAATGTGACTGTGAAAAACAGACTAATTTCTTAAATATTGTTTTTCTTTTAGAAAAGCTGGTGTTGTTTGCTATGTCATCATGAGTACATTCAATACATGCAAGGTCAAGTGTGAATAAAATTAAATATAATTTTAACTGTTTGAAATGTATATGTATGAGCCTGCATAACTCGGTCAGTATAGTGACTGGCTATGGACTGGATGATCAGGTTTCGATCCCCGAACGGGGGGCAGAGGATTTTTCCTCTAGTCTCTGCGTACCACCCAGCCTCCTATCCAATGGGTACTGGGGTCCTTTCCCGGGGATAAAGCACAGCCGGGGTGTGATGCTGACCACTCACCCCCCATCTAGTGCTGAGGTCAAGAATGAGTAGGAGCTATAACTCTTCTCCCCCCAAATTTTAAGATTTTAAACTATTAAAGAAATTAAAATAAATAAACAATTTGTACAGGAAATTTCCCAGATGTTTCAATCACACTTCGAAATATGAGTTGAACACTATAACAACTTGCATTTTATGAAGATATTCTGGTAAGACGTCCTCGTTCTTCTGTTGGGCCACGGTCACGCGAATGTCATTTGTAAATTGGAGAATTTAATACTGCAATATAAGTTTATCTAATCAAGGATGAATCATTTTTGACTTATGTTAAAAAATTCTTAAAAATTTTATGTATTTTTTAGTTTTTAACTAATTAAGATTGCAACTTAGAGGATCTTAAAAAATATTTATTTCTTTGACCTGATGATGGAAATATAATTTCTGAAACCTGTCCTCTCAAATGAAGACCTTTAAGTAATATTAATTAATTGCATCAGACTGTGTTTTAATCGAATAGTTTCTATAACTGTATAACAATTTTGATGTCTGTGTTGTAAAATTCAAGTGATTTTATGGATTACATACACAGATTATTTTTAATATTATGTTAATTATTTCTCTCCCCCCATCTTGTCATAAAATTTTGTGTAGTGTTGGTAACGTGTTATTTACAAACAGTGAAAGCGCATTCCATTTCTTCTCGTAGTTCAATGACAGGAATTATGGGTAATGTCTCTTACTTTTCTGGTAGAGTGCGCGTTGTGTGAAATAGATTAATAAACTTACAGTCCTTTCATTTTTACTGAAGAAGACGGTATATTCACTTGGCGTTTTAACACATCTCTGTAAAGTCTAATTTTATTTTTAACCTTAGAATACGTCGAAGCATTAAAATACGACATACTGTTACTGCAAATAGTTGACGATCCATGTGCAAAATTACAATCGTGATAAGAAAAAATCAGTGTGCGAAGTGTATTTTCAGTATTCCTAATTCTTTTGCACAATAAAACACCAGTTTACCCCATTTTATACATTTGTACGTAAGTATAAACAACTGCACTATGCAGCGAGAAAATGATAACACACATCAAGTTCAGCCTGTTTATCAGCAGGGACAAAGAATTTTTCGAAATGCTGAAAATTTTGTAAATAACCAAGGCATTCAACAGACATCAGGAAGCAAAAGCCATATCTCTGCACAGTACGCATCGATTTTACAAGCACAAGAAAGTGGAAGTGACCAATTTCACAATGAAAATGGACTGCTGGAGAATCTGAGGTCCAACATTTGGACATGCAGTGTGAAAACCGCTGCAGAGTTGAAGAATTTGACTGTGTCAACTGAAGAACAGAAGAAACAAATCCAAAAATTTCTCGAAGTTCAGGAATCAAGAGAGAAGAATGTTTCCGAAGCCAAGCATAGGAATGAAGCGATGGGCCTGGAGTTACAGATTTCACAAAGGAATTTACAGGAATTGGAGGCTCAGTAAGATTTCATACTCTACAATTGACAGTGCTTTTGTCCGTGCAGCCTTATGCTACTGTTTGAACTGATTTTTTATTACTATTTTATTGCCCACCCTCCCTCTTAACAGGTAAAATAAATTGACGTTACTTAAAGGCTTACAGAACTCGACTCACTGCATATTCACTTTGAAGACGGCAACTGCATTGTCTGCAGAAACGTTGGTTAAACTAAACTTTCGACGGTGCCACCCTCTTATCACATAACCTTACACGAGTCGACTTATTGTCTTGCAGTTTAATTAAAATTTAATTGATGGTTGAATAAGGTTGGCATGGTTTTGTCGGAAAACGTAAATAACAATATGGCGACGGCGCGAAATATTAATTTGGTGCCAACTCATAAATCATTGAAGCAAAGCACCCCTTTATTTTTTGTGTATTAAATATTTTTTTTAGAAATTTTGTACCAAATTTTATGTGTTGTTGAAAGCCCTAACATGTCAATGACAAAATCGTTGAGGTTATGTTTTCAAGATAACTGATGAGCTGTTGTCTGCCTGTCTGCTGTTGTTGATCTTCTGGGTAGTAACACTGTTTGGACTTGTAGGTATATACCAATGTTTTGGTGAAACATACTACCTCAATCTTTAGGCCTAAAACATGTTCAATTTATAATGAACTGGTACCAAATACTCACATGTTTACTGCACATTTGCAATATGTTGATTTCTTTTTTTGTAATATATGTTTTACCCACGGTAGTATTTGTTTGAAGTTTATACATGAGCTGGGGTAACTGAGTGTAGTGACTGGTTATGATTCCCAGCAGGGGTAGGGGCGCCTGTCTTTGTCATCATGTTAAGACACCCTTGGGTTCCCAGCCCTCTTATTCATTAGATGTCAGTAACTCTTTCACCAGGGTTAAAGCTGCCAGATCAAGAAGCTTGACTATTCACCTCCATCTAGTGCCAATAATTATTTTGTTCCATAAAATGAAGTTATTTTTACTTTTCAATAAAACTTTCATTAATAGGACTATTATGTATGAAACTAATTTTCCTACAAAGGTATGAAATTAAAATTTCCTCTGAAATACAAGACAGACTGTCCATACATTAACCTGTCATGGGTGTTTTATATATATTGCATGGCAGAAAGTAATGCATGAACTTAAATATTTCTAAAGCATTATTCACTGGTCTCATTAGTAACAAATAAAGTGGTGTACAAACTTCAAGCTAAGCCAGACTGTACGTCTGAGAATATTCAAAGTTATTTGAAAGCTTAAATAATAAATATGAGGTGAATCATTTCTGTATGTTTCAGAGGGGCTCTGATACAAGATGTATGTGCTGATCTGCAGCAACATTGCATCTCTACAGCTGTCACACTTGAGAAATGTGTGCAAGCTAAAGAATGCATTGTGCAGTATTATGATCACATTAGGCAGCAGCTGAAGGCTGATGATGAGCTCTATAAGATGCAGAAAGATGAATCAAGGAACAAGGAGGAGCTCTGGAGACATCATGGTGGGCAGTGCACACAAATACTGTTCTCTTTATTTTCCTATTTTAACCACTGAGATACTGATTGATTTTGTCTACTTCAAATAAATTAAATTAAGTCAAAATAAATATTTCAAGTACATCACAGAACTTCAATATAGCTGTAGTATATCTTTTGCCCAACAAGTAACGTATTTATACTTTGGTTAATTTTGCACTGTTGTAAAAGTAGTTAATGCTACTGAAATGTATGAGCATCTTGCAGCCATCAAAGTTTGTTAACAAGTTAAATTCATGAGAACAGCACTAACAAATACAGTGGTGGGTCATATTGATTTGAATCTGTTTAGGAAATGATAATTATTTAGCTTAAAAACTGTTAACATGTTTACTGGTTTCCAAAATTGAAATATTAAGATACTGTTATAAAGCATTTATTATGTCTGCCACTTTGTAGTGTTATTGAAGACGGTATTCACCCCAAGAGACTAATATCAGTTGCAAATATTAAAAAGAAAATACTAAGGAATATATCCAGGCCTAAGTGGAATGTATTATTCTTTCTTTGTTTTTTTTTAAAGTAGCACTATTACACATTACTGAAATTTGTGTATCTGTTCACAGCACTGGAAAAAATTGAAATGAGAAGGAAGGACAAGGTATTAGCAGAGAAAGTGAGAATGGAAATGGATCAGAAGATTGACGAAGTAGTGGCCAAATTGATTGCGTTACAACAGCAAAATGTGGTACTGAGTGATAGGATTAGACAGAAAACTGCCAAGAAGGAGAATTTAGTGTCTAAAATTGAACAGGTATCTGATGGTTCCAGGCATTAAAATGTTTAAAAAATTTAGGATTATTAAAGTAGGCATAGCTGTACTGTACTGAAATTTTATATGTAACCTTTATTATATTGGAAAAGTCAATTTGAACTTTAAACCCTTGTACTACAGTGCTGCCAGCCAGACTTTACCCCATGTAAAACTGGACTGTGTTTAAGTAGTGACATAAAGATGATAAAGATAATACTTATTTTTGTGTAGGAGCTACAGGATGTTAATGAGAAGGTGAGTAGAATTCAGCAGATGAATGTAGAGCTAACAGCAGTTACAGAGGGACAGAGGAGTTACATCACAAAGTTGGAGACTTCACTGCAGGATGTGACCAATGACAAGGATTTGGGAAAGAATAGTGTGTTGCATCTACAACAAGTAATTGGAAAGGCAGAAGAAAGAAAACAGGTAAAAATGTATTATGCGCCTTATATCATGCCTTCTTTCCATGCTTGCCTGTTATTGTTTTTTTTTTTATTTTGTCAAGGGCTTCAATCATGCTTGCCTGTTATTGTTTTTTTTTATTTTGTCAAGGGCTTCAATAAATGAAATGAATTTAATTGAATTATCAACAGCATCATTTTGGGATGAATTTATTACAAGTGCTTTGAATATAACCTCAGAATTTTAAAGCATTGCCATATTAGTACTTATAGACTCATAACAATATCATACATAATTTATAGCTGTGATCTATCTTCAGGAAAAATTTAATTTTCTTAGTTTAAATGTTATTAGCTCTCAAAATCAGACTCAAGGTAAAATGAGAATTTATGTATGACCATCGTATTGCTGTTACATAAAAAAATATTTAATACAAATTGCATCTTTTCAAGGATCTGGTACTGTTTAGTTTCAGGACATTGCGTAGTTGCACCAGTGTTACTCCCTTCACACAAATTCATATGCTCACCATGTTGTTATTACTGATCATAGAAAATTAAAAAAGTATAATGTCCTTTGTCATCTTTTAAGATTGTTTCCGAAGAGTTGGGACAGGCAAAGGCCAGAGCATTGGCTCTGGAAGTGGAGAACCATGAACTCAACTGTATACTGGAGAGGAAAGGGAATCTCAAAGCAGAGCTCATAAGCCAGCTTGAGCAATATGAGCTTGAACTGAAGGACATGAAAGGAATCCTTTGTGAACTTCAAGAATCCTGTGAAAATAAAAAAGAGGAAATAAACAGTCTGCAGGAACAACTACAGGCAAAACAGTATGTGTATTGTGTATTCATGCATGTATGTATGTATATATATTATGTATCAACTCCAAGAAAATGTATTGAGAGCACGTAAGGATTCTTTTCTCTTTTGAATCACAGTTTGAAATGTTATGCTAAGACAGTGACTGGACTGTTGTCAGTTCAGCATCATCATGAACCTTAATGTGTTGCAGGTTGGAGCAGGACTCCCTTACCTCTGAGTACAAGTCAAAGATAATGGATATGGAAGAAGGGATTGAATCAGAGAAGAAGAAATCATGTGATATGGATTCAGAGCTACAGAGAGAAGAGCAGACAGCTAGTGAGCTGCTATGTAGCTTGGAGGAGATCAGAGTTTCCAACAGCAGCATGGAGCAGGAGGTGCATGCTAATTATATAATACAGGATTACAGCCAGCACAAATGGTTATTTGAGGACTATTATAGGAGGACTCATTTCTGAGGCTTTGGCAATAGAAAACTTTGGTTGTGGACATAAAGAGACTGGCTTAATCATTTGTTCACATGGAAAAATTACTGTGTGGACTGAAATAGCACTACACAATTACACATGTTCAGGATTAAATAAGCAGTTTCAGACAGCCAATAAGGGACATCTTCCAGCTTAGGTTTTGAGCAAAGAGTTAACAGTCTCTCACAATAAAGACTGATCTACTGCAAAATGTTACACAAGGCTTCAGACTTGGTTGGATTTCTTGGTATGTCCTTAACTTTATGTATGATTTCACTCGTCATCAAACATTGTCTGTGCTAGAGCACTAGTGTTCTCACATCTTTGATAGATATTCCACAAAATTTGTCAATTCTTGTCTCATTATTACAAAAATATAATACAATAATATGATATCATTACATTCTGATATCTTATTTAACTCATGTAAGCCACGCACCCCATTTTTCGAGGAAGTAAAAAAAATTTAAAAAGTTTGTAACTTTTTCTTCATATGCATCTGGTAGCCTTTGTGTGATCTGGGTCCATCTTCTTATGGGAAAAATATCTCACCAGCCACCCTAGACTTGCCTTAAAATTTGTTATATGCTTGGCCCTAGCTATTTCCAGCGCTTTCATCCAGCACATTTCTATTGATACAGCATATTCAAACTGCCGCTTCTCGCAAATAAAGCTCACTAGTTCCTCTTCAATTACCTCAAACTTTGGTTTTGATCCTCTGAAGGCTCTTTGATTACTTGTAGTCTCCATTAGAAGGTCCTTCTTATTCCTCCAATCTCTTGAACCTTCTCCTGGCAGCTCGATTTCCGATTTACTCAGCCACTCGAACTATCTTCAATTTTTCACTTGCTGTGAAAGACCATAATCTCATACACATTGAACTCATTTTTCAAATAGTAGCTGAAGCAGGTAATGGTCAACCCTGCTTTTAAAGGACAAGGAGCAGGTAGAGACATAGAATTAGGTACGCAATGAGTCATACTCTTGTAAGCCATGCATCTCATTTTATGGGTAAATTATTTTCAAAAAAAGTGTGCAAAGGGTACACGAGTAAATACAATACTTGTGATTTTGCTGTGTTTATTTAATTAGTTTATCTAAGGTTTTGAAAATTAAATGAGGTGTACTTCTTAGTACTTATTTTCTTAGCAAACCCTTTTTGATAGAAGAGAAATTTTAATTCATCCAATGTTCTGTCATTGATCACAAATTTAATTATATTTTTTGTCTGAAACACTAGCCAAATTTAATATCCTCTGGTATAACTTGTTTTTTGTTACTCCTGGTGTTTAAGTTAAGAACACTTTTTTTCTAGGAACCCTACAAATACAGTGTAATCTGTGATATAGTAAATGTGGAATTTTTACCTGTAGTGTGAAGTGTTGACGGAAGATATTGCCAGTACCAGAAGCAGAACTGAGGAACTGCAGGTGCTAGCAAAAGAAGAGACTGAGCAGAAAGAGATGGTAGTAAAGGAACTGAAGGCTGTGGAGATATCTCTTCAGGAACTGAGGAGCTCCCTGGCTGATCACAACAAAATGCATGAGGAATTTATCCAGCATGTCACCAAGGACAAAACTGAGACAGACGAAGAGCTAAAGAATGCTCTGAATCGACTCCACAATAGTAATGCCAACTATGATTGTATGGTACAGGTGTGTTCAAAGTTAGTTATAATTAAAACATCTTTTATTTTCTCTGTCAGGACGCACCAGAACTTTGTTCTAGAAATGTTGGGGGTGGGAGGCAAATAATGTTCATTCTTTGCTGTTTCCTGACTTTGTATTATTTGAAATTTAATGACTTGTGATACTGCATACAGAGTTTGTTAGTGTTATAGATGCTGTTTGTTACAAAAAATTTGAGAGCATGACTTGCATACCATGTTGGACATTTGTCCATTAAAGAAACTTGTAAAAGAAATAACAAGAGTAGGCTTATATTTTTGTAAATATATGACTAAAAACATGTTTTTGACCTGATAATGGCATGTTATCATTGAAGAGCCAAAGGATAATTATATTCACATATTAATAAAGTTGTGTTGACATGCTGACAGAAAATATAGCGTAGTTAACATTACAAAAAAAATGGACTTCCTCAAATTACATGCAGGCCCCATGGTGTTAGTCATTCCATAACTGACCTTAGTTACTGATTGCAGGAAACTATGATACTGGTGAACGAGAGCAGACAGAGCTATGTGCAGCACATTGAGATGAAGGAAACTGCTCTGACAGCCTGTAAGAATGAGTTTCTCAGTCTCACCAAGCAGGTGGAAAGAGCTTCTGCAGAAAAGGTGATAAGTTCCAGCCACTTCTTGTACAGCAGTTGTGCCAACCTTCATGTGATGTTTCTGGATATTCTTTATAATATTTTTCTGAGAAAGATAATAATGACAGAGTTTCTGTATGCCTAATTAATATTATTAAATTAAATCCGTGGCTTAACAGCTCCAGAGAGCCTAAGCTGACTAGCTTGACTGCTGGCCTCACGTTCACATGCCTAAGCAGAGGTGAATGATCATCCAACCAGATATAGGGTGACGTGTGGTCAGCACGATGAACCCCCAGCCATTGCTAGCTTTCCTGACCGGATTACGCTACTCATTGTAGCTCCCCAATTTCCTCACGATGCTGAGTTGGCACTGGTCCCATATACTGGTCGAAAGCTCATGAGAAAATTTCTTCTCCCCCGAGACTCGAACCAGCGCGCATTCTGTATCGCCGGTCCGAAGCATGATGCCTCAGACCGTGCGGCTACGGCGCGGGACTGATTAATATTATTAGGTGATCAAATCAAGAAGGCTGACATGGGAGAAATGCATACATTCAAATAAATGGTCAAGTTGTCAGTCTCATTCAAAGAATTTAATAATGCTGGTACATTTTATGATGATTGATGCACATATTAGGACTTCCATATTGTGTATGCCCTGTAGGATAGAATTGCAGCTAAGGTGAAAGGTGAGTTGAAGACCCTAGAGGACACACTGAACCAGCTTGAGGGGAAGTTGTCCAAAAAGAAAGCAGACAACCAACCACAGGCAGCCAGCACACCTGTTAGTTTGATACTTCCGCAGTCAGAGCAAGTAAGTCATGCAATTTAGTTAGGGATCTGTATGAGCCCCAGGGCTGGTTTAAACATTGTGACAAAGAGAAAAATGCTGTCTTATTGGGAATTAATCTTCTTTCTTACAGCTTATAGCCTAGACACTGTACTGACTGAGCCAGGTTTACAGAACATACATAGTCTAGAAATCAAGGTCTTATATTTTAGAAACTGAAAACAATTGAATTTTGTACAAATAAATTTAAAAATTAAACACTATGATTATATCTTGTTTTTCCTTTCCTTGAAATTTTCTGGCTATACTTGGGCTGTGGACTTGCAGTATGCCTATTGAAGACTTAACCCCATAGTGCCTTTCGAGGTGTTACTGATTTGAAGTCTTTGAAAAATGATCTGAACTCAGTAATTTGCGTTTCAGATCTCTTCATTAGGTAATCAGCAGTTAATGCGAGGCATATTGAAGTCACCAGTAGCTGAATCAGTTGACAAAAACAAACAAGTTCAGTTTTTTGGATTGAGCAGTGACAGTGACTCTAGTCTGGTAAGCACGCCTAATGTTGGACTCATGTGAGTCCTTGCAGTGTCTTATAGGATTCTTCTGACATCCTGTGACATGTTCGATATAGAGACCTCTGAGATAAAGTGGAGATTTGTGAATGTAAAGAACGCCTAGCACCCACTTTGAATCAGAGCTAACATTAAGCTGAAGGCCCTCTCTCTGTCAGCTGTCATTGTTGTGCATAAATCTTCTTCAGTCTGAGGATAGCCAAGTGTGAAGTCAGAGGTGAACACCAGACTAAGAATTCTGATAAATGTGCTGTCTGATTAGGTGTGAGAGATGAATATGAAGCCTCATTGAATGAATTTTGTCAAGTGAACCTACAATGGATGGAGAGCAAATCTCTGATCCATGTAGGATATGATCCACTTTGTCAGCTGTTAATGCCACATAAACTGATCAGAGTTTTAATCTGTACTTACATGGCGAGAAGCAGATGTCTAACTGTACATACCTCTGAATTTATATTTTTTGTTACTTGGTAAATAAGTTAATGTTATGAAGTTAAGCTATGACTTTGTTGTGATTAAATATGGAGGTTTTTTGTTTTGGAAAGGGGGAGGGGTTAGTGCAAGGAATAATTACTCACTAGACCTGTTGAATAATGTTTTTATATGTGATGTTTACAGTTGGATGTACCCATATTTTCCAAACCACATGTGACATCAATGAATATGCAGAAAAGACCTGCATCAAATGATGATTGCACATTATATGCACAGAAGGTTAAGATCTCTTGCACATATGACTGTAAGATAGTTTTATGATTTGTATCAGCTAAGAATTTTATCTGTTTAATACATGGCCTGTTGTCCATATAAATTCTCTATTATAGTGAACTGTAGGATCCCATTGTGATGTTTCTGATATAAGCCAATTTTAAAAAGCTTTTAGTACAGGTTTTCCAAGTTAAATGAATTATGATAATAACATTTCTTATATCTAATTAAAGGCATGTCATTGTGTTAGCTAATTTTAATCTGATTTTGTTTTTGTCAGTGGGCAAAAGTCTTTTACTGGAAGTCCAAATCTCAGAACGTACATAACTTGAACCAATTATAGTATTATGTCATTCTTCTCCTACTTTGGCATGATGAGCTTGAATCTAAGAGTATATGTGGCCTGTTATGACTGTCTGATAAGCATGTATTTAATGGTGATTTACCAGTACTAAAGTTTCTTTATAGTAAATAAGGTTTTTTTTTGAAATGTTGGACAAAGAAACACAAAACGTCCCTTATATCATTGCAGAAACAGCTATCACAACCTCCTGACAAACCGCACCACTTCAAGGAAGTTCCACGCAACAAGTTTTTTAAATCCAGATCTCAACCCACAATCAAAACAAAACTCCAGGCGGAATAAGACAAATGTAATTCATAAGCAAGCAGAGAAGACTAATAGTGGTGACAAGGGGATGGGAGTGAATAATAGCAAGCATTTCTTGAATTTAATCTGCTTTTAACTTTGTCATAAATGTAAATTTTATTTGTTACTGTTGAGCCCAAATATTTCAACTTTGCCACATTTTTAAGGATTTATGGTTAGGAATGCCAGATACAAATTGAAAAGCACAGATACTTAAAATCTATAGTAAGAAAACTGTGATTGGTAAAGGATTTCTTTTTATTTGTTTTTGTTCCAGAAATTTTAAGTCAGGCCTCTTATATTTGGCATTGTTGAACTGCGATGAAACAACAAATCGCTTGAATCCCAGGTGAACATTTTACTTTATATTAGAGCATTCTCTCAGCCCAGCAATGAGAAAGCTGCTGTCCTGATACAAAATATGAAGTTTGGCTAAACAGCTCTGGGATTTAAAGAGGGAATGTGAACTTGCAGATTAGATTTATTTCCTTCCAGGCTGACTACTCCTATTTTAATATAGTGAGTCTTGCAGTTCTTTAATTTGTTGAAGCATCTCTCATTTATCTTCAGCAGTAATGGTATTCAGTTCAGAAATACACTGTGAATTTACTATTTCCTGATAGTAATGTCCATGTTTCTGAAATGTTCGTTTAGTCACCTCTAGTTGAAGACGTAGGCTCAAGAACTGGACATTTCTAAACCACTGTGGGTGCTGTAATGTCTTGCTAACCATAAATATTTTCTTTTTGTGGTACAAGACATGGATATATTTTGTACAACATGGTGTAAATGTCAAGTTTTGGAATAAGACCAGATTTAAACTTAATTCATGATTGGTTATTTATTACCTTCTAATATGAGTTGCTTTCTTGATCTAATTGTTCTTTAATAAAGTGTATATAATATGAATACCAATTCATAGCTATTACACACCAGTGTATAATTACTTTTCTTTGTGTAGTTTAACACTGAAAGTTTATTTGAGAATGATGTGTTCTTTGAAGTTTATCTATTTATAGCGAAAGCTTTTTCAGTGTATAAATTACAGATTGTTGTTTATATGAGTTCACTGGTGTCACAATATGGGAAAAATGTTATAAAAACTTGTAGATTATCATATAATTAAAATATTTTGTCATTTCAGTTTGTTGATGTTTCTAATTAAACAATTTTGTTTATTGTTCTACTTTCTCATAATGAATTCTTGGAAGTTATAGTACCTTGTGTTCAATTTTTTATGTTTGTCTTTGGTTCTTATACACATTAAAGTTTTGTTCTTATAAACTTGTATGCTAATTTGATGTGCTGTCACAGTTGTGTTCAAAATTAAATTACTGGATGTCTCCTGACACAGAAGCAGCAATTTCTTGAATTTATGATAGCTTCAACCAAGATTTGAATTTGTGTATGCACAATAAGTATAATACCTCAAAATCGCAGTTTACAAAAAGGACTTGGTAACATGAAAGAAACCATTCGTCATGGTGTAATAGTTTCAAAATATGGCTAGTTTTGACTAATACATGAAGTCAGTGAGGGTCACTAACGCTTAGTGTGCAAATAAAATGGCATCCATACTCTTCAAGCCTTAGTGTGGCAAATTATGCACAGAAAACTTTTTGTCATCAACCTTTGGTTGTCTCTTGTATGCATTTGTCCACATAAGTGCATATCATATACCAGATAAAAAAAAAAAGTGCGATGGCCGGGAATCGAACCCGGATCAACTGCTTGGAAGGCAACTATGCTCACCATTACACCACCATCGCACACTTACTAATAAACGCTAAGCTACTGGTTTATATTTAAAAACGAATTTTGTAAAGGTAATAAATTGTCTCGTGTTTGAAAAGGCGTTCTTTAAAATTACAAGGTGTTTTTCCCACCAAATCATGACCAATGACACCAATAGGCAACAAAGGGAAATACAACAATAGTAGCAAAATTAATCTTGTTGCTGCAAATATGTGATCCAAGGACACTGCTGTGATGAAAGATACGCATCCTTGGGTTGTTATGTAAGATTGAATAGAAAGCACATGACAATAATAATGCATTAAGCATAAAAAAAAATTACGCCCAACGTGGGGCTCGAACCCACGACCCTGAGATTAAGAGTCTCATGCTCTACCGACTGAGCTAGCCGGGCCATGAAAGATATGTTTGTATTGATACTATATTAAGAAAATTTAGTACATTATCATAATATTAAGCCGTTACAGCAATATTAATGTATAAGTGAATACGTAAGCCTGTGAAAACATTTTTGGATTAGTTGAAACTGAGCTATTGCTAATAATATGGAGGTACTATAGTTCTAACTATTACCAAAATATGGTAGAGGCTTATGCTCAAGTTTATATAAAATGTAATAGTTTGAATTATTCTCAAAAGATGGCACAGGATTCTCACATCAACCATAAATGCTGCTTCCAGAAGAGCTAATATAGTTTCAACTCTTCCTAAAAGATGACAGGGGCTTGTGCACAGGTTTTATATAAAGTGTAAATAAGAGTTTAAATTATTTTCAAAAGATGGCAGGGGTTAAGTATTTGTATCTACAGTCTACACATCGACTACATATGCTCTTCTATATGAATATAGTATAGAATGCAGTAAAATCATGTCATGTAATTTTCTTTGCCTTTCTGTTTCTTCATTCCAGATCTTCCATAGCACTTTATTTCAGATATCTTTGATTTCTTTAGCTTCTCTTCTCCATATCACTGACCAGTATATACTCAAATTCATGGACTTCATCATTATATCCAGTGTGGCAGTGGTTTGGCCATTCAAAAACAGCTGATCTAAACAAATTTGGTTGCTGTTTCCAACTAGAGCATCCAGGTCACAGTTCTGGGAAAAACATGCTCCAAAACTATGTTCTATTAGGTTATGTGTTTGCATGTGGAATCATGTGCATGCCAGGTTCTTAACATGAATTTTGCATCCAACCAGAACAATGGATTAAGTAAGTATTGTAGGTTTTAATCTTTTGTAGTTTGGAAAGAAGACAAGATTCTGTACCAAGTGTTGTTCATGATGAACTAAATTAATTTTAATTGGAATTTACTAAGTAACTGGCTGGTGAACAGTTTTGTGAGTGCATTGTTTCACCTGGATTTGAGTTATTCCTTGTACACAGTTTTTTTGTGTGTAATATTGGTATAGTGGCATCTCTGGAGTCACAATGATCCACAGCCTTCTGGCAGTATTTATCTCCATCATTATATAGGACTATTGTATAAAAGGTGGTTCAGGGTGGTGGAATCATAGTTCATCAGAAGTGTGGGAACTAGCAACATCAATCCTATGTAAGATTGAATCATGCTACAAGAAGATCACTGGTCTACTTCTAATGCCTTGACATTAAATAAAGTATATTAATAGCATACCATAATCATTCTGAAGGTGAGGAATGGGTTGTACTTTTCCTTACTTTCATTTTTAAAAGAAATGTGTGAAGAAATTCACATTATTTTTATATTATACAGATCTGATACAATTATTTTATCCTACATAGATTTTACAAATAAATTACAGTACTCTGTTTGTGTTTGTTCCTTTGCAGAAATAACACAAAATAAATTAAAAGATAACATACTATGTTGGGCATGATGCACTGTTAATGAATATTACTACAACACACGTCCTCATAGCATGGATTGAAATGGACATTGTTAATACATTATTTGACTTAGCCATGAATCTAAATACAGGGGAGACTAATAACACTAATTAGTGCCACATATACAATAATTATAAAACACTGATCAGCCTTCAGTTGTATTTCTGCAGTATTAGCATAGTTGGTAAACTCTGAAATTATGACATTATTAGTGACAGTGTATTGTGTTAATTCAATAGAATTGGAAGCTAGAGATGAACCCCATGGCTTATGATGGAAGAAGATATTTATTCACCTGTAATGATCTTGATATAACATTTCAGTTGTATGTGGAATGCACACAGGTATGTATAAACTGGTATACATACAGTTTTATGTTCTTAAAAAGTCTTCCTTATAAGAAGAAGGCATTCTTATGGGTTGTAGCACCATGTAGTGTGGTAGAAGTTTTCCAAATGTTTCAGAGGTCCTTGATGCTTCCATCATCAAGTCAATGAGTAAGTGGGTGTGGAAATGGTTTGAGTTATAGGAGACTGACAGTCAAGGTAGAGTGTTGGCCTGACCAGTGGGGACTGGAATCAGAATCGGATGATGGCCCAGGAACCAATAGGAAGAAGAAGGATGAGCCACTCATCCACTTTCTCAAAGGACATAGGAAGCTTCTGATACCACATTGCCAATCCTGTCTGGGATACTAGGCCACTATAATGTACTTTTCAGGACACTGTCTGGCCCTAACCACTCTCTGTGTTCCTCATAACATTCACCTGCCTACTGTATGTTTGGTGATCCACCTGCTGGGCCTTAATAGGGGCTGCTTTCTTGTGCCTCTCTTACTTGTTGTCTGTCTCATGTTCTGACTTCAGTCCCCACTGGTCATGCCAAAGTTCTCTCTTGACTATCAGTCTCTTATAACTCAAATTGTTTCCATGCATGCAGATTACTCATCACTCTGATGATGGAGGCAGGAAAGACCTCTGAAATGTTAGTCTACCAGACTACACAGCACCATAATCCAGAAGACAACCATCTTCAGACCCACCACCATGAGAAACCTCAAATCTTCCTTGTAAGTTTGAATTTTCCTATTACACTAGATTAGTGTTCCAATATTTTACATAAATTGAAGACAAATAAATTATTGGTTAATTACCATAATTTTATAGTTTCTTCAATAAATTTATGATATGTACTTAAAGAAGAATGACATTGATCTGTTTGAAAGGGAACACCTGGATCTATACATTTAGTATATTACACATACATATGCATCAACTCACAGAAAAGATTAAAAATCTTACATTGACTTTCCTAGTATTATAAATCACATAGTAAGTACATTGAAACATCACATATATTCTCTTGGTTAATGATGAAGGAATTTTAACTTTACTTTAAATATTAAATTAGGGCTGTCAGTCAATATTTTTAACTGATTAACTGCTAATCATTCATCAATTAATTGGTAAATTAATCCTGCAAAATAATTTTGTCACACAAATATGGGAACAATTTATTATTATGCAAAAGACACTGATAAATGAAGTTAGTGACTCATGACAAATTTTCAGGCTAAAATGTTTAAATTCTTTACAGCTGGTAACAAGCAACTTCTCTATAGCATGGAAATGTCAGCAGGTATACAGCATGTAATAATTTTAGATTAATTTTTCTTTTTAAATTGTTTCAATGAATGCGGTAAGTTGTCCATCTTGTTGATTTTGAGAGATTAATTTATCTTTTAAAATTGTTTCAATGAATGTGGTAAGTTGTCCATCTTGTTGATTTTGACAAAATAATATACTTGTCAATTAAAAAAATGATTAACCAGACCAATTAATTGATTAATTATAATAGCCCTAATTAAAACCCAAGCTTTCAAGTTTTAAAAGATACCAATAGCTCTATATCTAAAACAGTGACATTACTTAATATTATGGCAACGCAGTAGCAGTTTAGGAACTTGCTTGGAGTTCGGGCGCAGAACTCATTATTCAGACATTTTTTGAAGAGAGAATGTTATGTTAATACTGTATATTATGCTCACACATACATTCTTGCATGCTACAATAGAAAAGCGACATATTCAGTTGTATCTTGGGAATCTTTATGACCTACCTCACCTTTGTACTTTCGAATTTTTGGGTGAGGCTTGAACGGTTTAAATTAGTATTACCACAGTTACAAGTATACAGTCAACTTTGTCCTCAAAATGTAAATTAGTATATGATGGCATGATGAATAAAAAATGAATATAAGAAAAAAGTACATGACAATGTGAAATGTAAAGTTAAAAGAATAATATTTACATAGTAACAGAAAACAGATACTTAGTCCATACTGAGTATTATGGGTTGAATGAATGCTTTATTATCTAGGCAGATAATTGAACCCACAATCTCTGCTTAGAATGCAGGTAATTTCTTTCATGACTTGCAAGTTCTTCACTATATGTGCTGTGTACCAAGATCGGGGATTACAATAGTTGTTTATACAAAGTCATTTCCCATGGACAGGTTTAGCAACATGCTGAGTTAATTCTTGAATAATTGGCTGTTTTTTTATAAATGTAGACAGCTTTAGCTTAAAAATTTAGCTTAATTGTACAACAAATTAGTGTTCTCTTTCCAAGAAAATACAGAAGTTTTATGTTTTTATGTATTCCATAAACTCAGTTTGTAGCAACTGTGCCCATGTAATTTCATCTGCCTATTACTTGCAGAGGTTATGTAGTGTCAAAATGTAAGGGTGATATGAATGTCTAGACAGAGTAGATATCCACAATAGCCAGTCCTCTGTCTGAGATTTAAAAAAAAAATTGTTTTATAATATGAAGCAGTTGAGAACAATGTCTCTCAAAGTTTCGCACAATATGTGAATATCTGGTGATATAGTAAAATGAATATCCAGATCACAGAAGCAGCATGGTGTGAGACATACATGATATCTAACTGCTTGAACATTGAGACCACAAGTTCAAATCCCATTTGATTCATGTATCTGTATGTTTCTCTGTGTTATATTGTCATGTGTAGATAGAAGTCTCACAGTAGGTTGATACCCCATACAAGAGGCATTATCAAATGTCTAAAGAATTCTTGGTTTTAGAATAGGCCTGATGACCTAATCCATGGCAGCTATAGAAGACTATGGATGCAGTTTTAATATTTTTTGAGATAGAACATGCCTTTGTGTTACTTTCTTCTATGGAACATTGCACAAATGTTTTTACAACCTGTAGATCTTATTCCATAGCAAGATATTAGTATTTGCTTTCTTAGGCTCTTATTTTGGAAAGAGAACAAGTAAAGGAGACAAGAGCATCCCTTACATTCCATTTGGAGCAACATGAACATTCAGCTTTTTTCATGTTGTCTTAATTCTTAAGCTATATAATACTTCATCACAACCATTACACAGTTAACTTCTATATTTCAAATTGGATTGCATTTAATATACAGGTCTGCTCTTTGCACATGAAAAGTTCAGACAGATGATACAGGCTACTACACTCATTCAATCTCATTCACATTACAAAACCATCCACACATTCATACAGTTTGTTAGAAATTAAATTCACGGAACTTTCAATTACCAAGAAATGTCTGATACTGTGTTAAATTTAGAAACATAGGTTCAATGCAGGATGTAAAATTAATAATTCTTCATTCAATTCATTACATACTTTTCCTAAGCACATTTTTATTTTCTGATCATTCACCCAATACAATGTCACACAGTTCATTAAGGTAGTGGGATCTAATGCAATTTAAAGGGAGGTATTAATAGTTGAACTTAACTTTTGAGTTATGTGACTTATAATTTTGGGGTTAATTAGTTTACTTTGGTTGAGTAAAGTTGACTGAATAGGCCCTTATTACATTATCATGGGCATTAAATTTAGTATAACCTTTTTCTTGCAAAGACCAATTAAAGGTTGATAAATAAATATGCCACACTCTGCAGACTACAACAAGCTGCCTTATACTGGTACTTGACAACACATACATGTAATTGTATGAAGCCACTTTTTTATGGAGTAACAGTTTACTTTAGTTTAGATTGGGATTTGCATCCACAAACTGAAGAAATGTAGCATAACTAATTTAGGCAAAATGTGATGGGCTCATAACCTCCAGTTCCCTAAATGTCAGGAATGTTCAGAAAATACTGTCAATTTTTTATGTGGCAAATTGTAAAACTTTATTTTACATGGCAGTGGAAGGATAAAACTGATATTTTATTTTGGTTCATAGTCTTTAGATCCCATGTGTGTACATGCATACACATTCTGCATCTGAAACACCAGCTGTTCATGTTTGTCTGTTTTCCTGCCAGTCTTTCAGTTTTCAAGTCCTTAAACTCTTTGTGAAGTTTTGTATTGAAGCCCATTACCAAAGCATAGTTTATTACTTAGGACTATCAGTATACTTGATCTGAAACCAAAATGTTGAAGAGAATATTTGAAGAAACGAAATTAAATAAAATTTCCATTGTTTCTGATATTGTATGACTCTGTATGTTTGTGTCTTTTTAAAGTTTTTCAATGATGCTATATATGGACTAACAGTATACTTGATCTGAAACCAAAATGATGAAGGGAATATTTGAAGAAAAGAAATTAAATAAAATTTCCATTGTTTCTGATATTGTATGACTCTGTATGTTTGTGTCTTTTTAAAGTTTTTCAATGATGCTATATAAACTGCAAATCATTAAATGAAGGATGGTGAGATGACTATGATTTGTGAGTCAGGAAACAACTGCAAATCATTAAATGAAGGGTGGTAAGATGACTATGATTTGTGAGTCAGGAAAAATTGGGAGTGGGATTACTACAAGAAAGTTGACATAACCTATCACTTGTTGGGATCCAGATTACATCATCCCATTAAGTATTTTAGTAATTGTACTGCTTATTAAAATGGGTACTGAAATCAAGTAAAATTATTTAAACATTGGTGGTACATTGTCAGTGTTCCTCCAGTATTTGAGTTTTAATGAAGGAGAATTAAATTCCACTTGCTAAAGAAGTGATCGTAATTACTTTATAGGCAGTTCATTATACGGAAATTTATTTTTTGTTACTGTTCCCAGTTTTGGTGTGGAAAAGATAATGCTGTTATAAATGTTTTAAAATAAATGTAAATAAATATTTATTTCCTTTACACCTACAAATGTTAAATTTGTTCATGAGAGAGACAGAGAAATTTATCCATTCTACAGCTTAGTTACAAGTTATGTGTCACCCTGATATTCATCATTCAACACTTCAAACCATAGTAATTGACAGATCTTTATTACTTAATTTTAAATGAATAAATTATCTAGTATTGAGGTAGATGGAATTTGCTTACATGCACATAAGTGCATGCGCACACATACACACTTTAGTTGAAATCAAAATCTGTTTTTGTCTGCCTCCCACATTTAATAGCATGTGACTTTAGCCTTGAACCAACTAACAATGGATTTTACATTTTGAAAATTTCTAATTTTCAACAATAAATAATTACTACTGCTTTATAATGTAACCTTACTGGTGGTTTTTATTACATGCTGAATTGTTATTAGCTCAGAAATGTGATTTTGTGCTATAATTGCATAATGCCCATACATTATTCTAAAAAGCAAAATCTGCAACACAAAGATAATTATGTTTTTTCTAGAAGTTTCATTACTGCACTGTTTTATTTAGATTTAAATATTGTAGTTTAAGTTTAAAAAGTTTACATTTTTATTAGCAGGAAGACTGGAAGTACCCTATACTAGAGGGTGAGGAAGAAACACTAGTTTGCAACATGTGTATGTATTTTATTATTTCTTAATTTATTAACTCCATTTGAAAAGGTTTAAAAGCACTGAGAAATGCAGCTTGATTCTGATTTGTGAAAAGGGAGGATTTGGGTGGAAACAGGTATGGCATATTTCCTTGACATTTTTCTGAAGGACCACAGGAAAACATCAAACACTTTAGTTATAACATATGGTCTCTCAATTAAGATTTAGGCCTTTCAGAATCTGAAGCAGTGGTAGTAGCACTGCACCACAATTTTGGGTCATTATATGTAAATGGTCAAAATATTTGAAGATGTAGCTCTTTGCTACTTTGTATGTCTTTGTTGAAATGAATGACCTATAAATTATATTTCAGTGATGACACTAATCAGAAACAAAAGCATGGAATTGAATTTGCAAGAGCAGAAGTCAACTTATCTTGTGTTAACCCTTATTATATTTGTGATCTTTTTAAGGTTGAAGTTGATTCAGAGTGGGTGAGAAAAGTCAGATTAGTAGTGTATTTGTTTCATGGTTGGATCAATTTTTAAAATCTTAAAACTCTCAAGAATATTACTGGGACATGTCAAAAAATATTGTGCCAAGTTCCAGACTGTGGCCTATGTCATCTGTTTAACGCAACCTTCACTGCCAAAACCAAAGAAACTATACCAACATCCTGGAAACCAGATTTTGAAAAATAAATTACTAATAAAACTATTTTAAGAAAAAATATACTGACTTTGTATAATATAGTTAGAGTACCCAAATAAATAATCCCACTTATTTCTAATGCTTGACATGGAATCAACTGACTCAGGCTTTATTAACCAGTATTATAAGCTTCTACCGAATACAATCTCGCATCAACTGTGGCTGTTCTATGCATTGTTCTTCTCCTGTTTGAAACGTGTCCTGGTAACTTTCATCCACCACAATCACCAATACTCATATCTTCTTATTTAGCCTCTTGAGAAAGGTATACAACACTCATAACTTTATTATGTTTCAAAAAGTATTTTCATTTCATTCTCATCTACCAACAACAATCTCTTCCACCACACAGTTTAAGAAACTCCAGAATCTCGAAAATGACAGTGATGTCAACGTAAACATAAGTCTATAAAAACTGTGTTATTTTCATGATCCTTGCATAGACTCTGATAGCCGATAATTTTACAAAGGTTTCATGCTACTTATTTGCGGCATTTCAGCCTTTTACGCGATAATCCTCTTCAAGTCCTCCTCACATGTTCTCTGAGAGTGCAACAATTTATTTGCACTTGCGTGACCGATGTTGGAAGCGACGCATCCGCCTGTGCCATTCATCTTTCCATTCAATGACAATTGAACGCCGACTAGCTGTCAGTCCTGGGTGATTCCCTTCCTTTTCTTTACCTAAGATCAAATATAACCTACAAAAAAAATGATAATATAAGTGATGTTTTCATATAATATATAATTTGGCACTTTAAATAACACAATGGAGCACAGGCCTTGGTGAAACAAGACATTACTTAAATGAACAAGAAATTCCTTGCTCTTACATGGAACATACAGATTAATTACCATTATCACAAGAGCCTGCTACTGGATTATAACATAACCTCAACTAGACAAATCCTGTTTTCATCCTCAGAGCCTATTTTTGAATGCCAGCTTCTTTATTATCCTCACATCTAAGACTTTTAGAATGAATGAATTTTAGAGTAAATGAACAGATGAGATGTAAAATACTTTATTTTTGTACTGGTATGTTTCTTCGATATAGACAGAAATAAGTATAAGCTTCAGATTTATGGGGTTATAACTTCAACTGAACTTGAAATTAGAAGATGTTCTGTGTATTTAGTGTTTGCTATTTCAAAATAAAAAATGTATTTAGGAACATATAAATTTTATACCCATAGAAGGATTTTTGTGGTCTCAAATTGATGTGGTAATAACATATAAAGTAGTTTGATATATATTTATTTATTTAATCAGCAGAAACTTACTTGTTAGTCTTTACTTTGGGGCATTTGCAAGCTAAGTCATTCATGTGCACCCACAAGTACGTGTTTCCTCGTCGCAGCCTTGAGTCCCGTGCTCGTTTGTATACTGACTGGATGCTCATTGAGAACTTTACCCAATCTTCTACTGTCTCGCGCTCCAAGACCTTGCCTAGAATAGCTGCAAACATGAAATATTATGTATCAGGCATCGATAACATACAACATGTACTGAAATGAAGGAAGTTACTGCATAATGAGCATTATTATATATATTTGCCTAATACTGTTAACTAACTAGATGGCCTATGGAACCTGAAGGTTCATCACCGAATTAACCAAAGCCCTCCACCGGAACCTGTCCTGGGCCAACAAAATCCATTCTCCTTCAACTCCTATCTCCCACAGATCCTGCCTGAGATTATACTTCCATCTATGTCTAGGTCAATGTATTGAATCTTCATACCCGTTTATTAACATTTCTACTAATTACAAACAGGTTTACATTACTAAATATTTTTTTAATAAAATCACGTATTACTAAGATATTTAACATTCAGTATTACGTTTAATGTCTGGTACTGTGATTTGCATGCATCGCAGTAACAAGGCATTGGTAACCCCTGCATTGGATGTTTACTGTAAGGACAGTAATGTCAATTATGAAACGCGCTAAAAGGAAATTGGGCCTGATAGTTGCATGCTGTAGACAAGGAAAATGGAAACTATGAAACCCGCTAGAAACATACATGTTTATTGTAATAGGAGTATGAAATGGTCGTTTAGAGGTGGATATGACAGTGCATAGCATCATGAAGGGTGTAAAAGCTTAAAATGATTTCAGAAGTTATATTTATTGATTTTCTCTGCCAGCAATTTATGATGAATCCGGTTTCGATATGACTGACGTGTTGTTAACTGACTCAAGTTATTTCGAGTTCGATTGTAGTACCTTGTATCGTCAGCAGAGCGAATAACCTATAGTCGATTGACTAAAGTTATTTCGAGTTCGATTGTAACATGTGTAGTATAACCTGAGGTGGAGAGTAATTCTTTTCTGGCGTCTTGCACCTGCCTCCGTTTGATTTCAGTGTCTATCCCGAGCCACTATTGTAAGTTGCATTTTCTGTTTATTGTAAATACTTTTTCGATAATTTATTATAATTAAATGTACTAGACACCTGACACGCATGATACATAACATATTTCGAAGATACATAGAACGTAATTATTCATTGGTTAACCTATGTACCGTGCATTTGGAGGACTATTTTATTTAGCCTTCACGAAAATTATTTGGGCATTTTGCATATTTTTGATTATGATTACAGTCTTCATCATGTCGACTTGTTATAGTAACATATCGTATAGTTTCTAAATTAATCGTCAACATAACTGTTATAGGTTTATTCAGTGTAGGCATCAATCTGTGTTCAGAGATGTTGCTTGCACTGCTGACCTCTATGACAGAATATGCTAACTAAAACCTGCATAAAACGTCAAGCGCAACCCCCCCATCCCCCAAGAAAGAATCTAACCTTAACTCCTATCATTGCTTTGCTTTGATCATCGTAAACGCTCTCTCAAATAAAATGTCTCCCTGAAAAATGTGCCTGATTTTGTAGCAGTCACGGTTAGGATTCAATGAAAGCTGTTTATCTGGTTTCAATAGCCGACATAATGACAAGAAAATCCAGTCTCCTTCAACTCCTATCTCCCATAGATCCCGCCTGATATTATCCTCCCATCTACGTCTAGGTCTCCCCAGCGATCTCTTCCCCTCAGGCTTCCCAACCAATACCCGGTGCACACCTCTTGTCCCATCCATGCGCGCTACATGCCCCGCCCATCTCATTCTTCTTGAAAGTCAAAGTTAACCGGTCTTCCTTAAATGTTGAGCGTTTGATATACTTTTTATTTATGTACTCGTATATGCTCTTGATTAATAATACGCAGATGAAGTGCCAAAACTTACTTAATGACTCCTACCGTATAAATACGATACTGAAAAACACGAAACAGTCAAACGGGCGGTACATTTGTAAACAATCTTAAAAGACTTGCTACTACGATCAGTAATGGGTCGTACTGTTTATTTTGTGACGATGTTTCTGTGGAATGAAAGCGTTCATTCAAAAGAAAACGGGGTGGTTTGGGCTTAGAGGCACAGTTCGACGGGGACATTTACTCTATGTCCAATATCAAAAGTTTAGAGTGTAACAAAGTGGACAGCGGAAGGCAGTCGGGTGCTGGACGTCCGGATTGAAGGTCACGACAGAATATTCGCGGATTATTCTTTCCCCACGTACTTTTAAACGCCCAGTGCTTTGTGACGACGTAATTTATTTATTGACGTAAATAAACTAAAGTGTGGAAGTGTAAGTGAACCGAACTACAGTGGGCATCTGAAGTGTTCTGAAAAAGTGAGTATAATACAACTGAATAATACTATTAGAAGATGTTTGTGTGGGAGTAATTAGTAAAATATGTTTACATAAAATCATTCTAAAGAGAAGCAACATTTTCGATGTAATTATTGATGGAATGTTCCACTGTATGGAAGAATATTTTCGTGTTTGATCTTACGCACAGAAGTCTTGTCTTGGGACACTGGAATCTCAAGTAGCAGTCAAGTATTTGTTAATAGATTTCTGTCAGTCTCGGAGGTTTTATCACTGCCATATACAAACCAAAATCAAAGAGTTTTTACTCGAAGTGATCTGAAGAAATAAATGTATGCAACAGGCGATAAGGAAATATTAGCGTCGATACTTGGAATATTTTATAGAGACATTCCCATAATGGAAATACGGAAATGCTTATAACGAAAGGAAACATAATTTGCAGGCGGGCGGTTAAAGTAACGGAGACATCAAACCAGGATTAGCTAGAGTAACAGAGTGGAAGGACAATGGGTGATGCACAAGAATGAATGAAACGACTGAGTGTCGTCAGACGTCCAAGATAAGAGCCTTTGCCGAAGTGTAAGGCAGCTCCCGGCTCAAATAAGACTTGGTATTGGTTTATTTTTTGAGGTGGGAATTTGAAACGCCTAGTTCTCTGTTGAACGTAAGGTAAACTGTAGAGAGTAGATGAAGATGGTAGTATGAGAACAAAATGCCATCCTCTTGTATTACTTTTTATTTTATTTTCGTGATACTTATCTTCGTAATTATTCTTAAAGTTTTCATTCTCTTGAGTAAAATAATTGGTATGAGCTTCTCCTTAGTGTTGTAATTTTTACGCGTTTGTGAATGTTTTTCTGAGAGTGAGTATGAGAAATAGGATGTTAAAATATTTGAACATACGCGAAATTAAATGTTTCATCAGCCCCTGATCAATTAGTATTTTATAAAGAGTGAATAGACGAAATCGGGATGGCTATAGTAAATACGATAGGTTAATAAAATTAAATATTTTGATTGTAAAATCTCCAAAAATCGATTGCTCCGAAGACCTTGTCGTGGGTGGATAAATAGTAACAACGACTGTACGCCTAAGTGAACAAACAGACCACACTCAACATGCAGGCAGTGACCAGAATAGACGCATTTTACGAGGCTTTGAGTTTCGTAAGTGTAGCTTATCGACAGGGTGTTCGCAGATATTATTAGCTATGCTCACAAATCTACCATGATGCTGACATTTTGGCTTTTTCATAGTAAAATAACTTTATGCTTATAGAATTCTTATTGAAATGTATCTCGAAGTTACTGGACCAAGGTCATGCAAAGGCGGTTTAAGGAACGGGGTCCACAGCAGGACTCGACTCATGTTGCATGGAGTTGGATGTTTTTGCTGTCGATGTTGTATGGAAGTTCCCAGGTTTGCAGTCTCAAAACAATGTTCGTTACGTTTGGCATCTGCAAAGCACAGATAATGTTCGACAGGGTACAGAAATTGGCTTTCCTATTCGCCACGAGCGAGACAATACAGACAGACGACGATCGTAAAATAACTTATGGACGAGAGGATTTTTTTTAAGTCGTTAATAACGTGTTCGGAGCCCTGGTTTTGAACTCTGAGTTCCAAAAGTTTTGTCACTGTACGTAAAGAACATGAAATAGTGGTCGAAAGGTGAACTTCAGCGAAATTTACAGATCGATTCCTGGTTTTTTAACGACGCTGTTCTAATTGCAGATCTTGTATGAGGGTGACGTGAACAGATGACAAAGAATATTGGGTAGGTAAACATTTTTAAGACGGCTGTAGTCAGGCAGAGGTCACAAACCCAGTAGTCTGTAGAGACAGGAAATCTACGATAGCCCATAATTCGGCGGAAATTTATGCCTGGTATCTGCGGAATACATCTCTTAGAGCGTTACTGTAACACAAATATGCTCGGTAAAATTACAAGGTAATGTGACAGTCTACTGGAAAAGTCACGAATGAGCCTTCGTGGCTTCCATTACTTCTGAATTTCGCATTCTGATCCAAAAGTGTTACGCCCTATACTAGAAAGGAAGGATTGAATTCATAACTTCCGGTCCAGAACTCAGCTCTACACACCAGAAAGCCTGCCCATGAGCCAAAAGTATTCAAACAACACGTATCGTTCTTGCACAGACACTCAGCATGTGAATGACCGTGGAAGAAAATTGAATGAATGCGGAAAAGAAGAGGACACATCCACAAAACCGAAAATGAGGAAGAAAAACGATGTTGAGGGGATATGGAAATTGGTATGAACTGTCTGATGCAAGGGGATAACCCTGCGGGAATACTTGGGGACAAAGGACGTGAGAAAAGACATAGGAAACACAGAGATTCTGGAACAAACAAATGAAATTGCTACTGGGGGGCACTAAACAACGATGTGAGTGGTTCGTGGTTGTTGCGAGGCGAGAGAAACGGCAACCGCCATCCAACGACTTGACAAGGGGTTAATTTATATCGGCATAACAACATTCTCTGGCTGCCACGACAAATTGCTAGCTTCGTCTACTGCGAGATATTCAGCTCCTCGTCTCAGTGCTAGAGAAGCAAGGTGAAATGGAAACGCTCCTAACGATCAGAATGCTCAAGTTACTTTATTCGTCCCTCAGAAGCTATTTTCTGGCAATTTTTTTATACTGGTGCAAAGAGGGCAGGTGTTTCTGTAGATCATCTTTAAAACAACTGGATTTCAATTGAACTTATTACTACAAGAACATTTTGAATTATTTAAAAACGCGAAGAAGAAGAAGAAGTTTCCAAATAAAAGTTTAGAAGAGACATAAATATGCGCCTGTGAACACGACAACAGGTGGAGGTGGCTGTCTTCTGAGATATTGCACCGTGTGTTCTGGTAGACGGTGACCGGCGTCTATGAGTAGCTTAATTCCTCCAGTATCAAGGTTATCTTGATGATGGGGACAATCATTTATTCTGGTGACTTTGTATTGTTAAGATAGTGAAATTAAAGAGGTTTTCATGGGCCGAATATGTAGCTCTGCCGAGGGAAACAAAAGATACGTACAGGTTTTCATATGGAAACAACACTTTGATGACCGAATAATAAATGGGATGATAATATTAAGGTGACTCCTAGGGCGATACTTGTGAAGAGATGGATAAAACTGCCGTAGGTTTGTGTCCAGCTGTGGACTACGATGTTCTTTGTCGGTCTGTATTAAGGGATTATAGAACATGCACACCAGCAGGGAACGAATATCCCGATTAGTGTAAGCTGCCTGTCGTTATATTCGACACCGAGACAAATGCTAGAGCCACGTGATTTGCATATTCAACCACTTTGGATATTAATTGTAGGCCTATATGCCACTTTTATATTTTTTGACATCTTTGCTATCTTACTGTAACAAATTTCAAAACTACAGAAATGTCTTTAATTCCAAATTAAGGCTAACTCGACCACTTGTTAGTGTCTTCTCTATACTCTTGTCTGTCGATTAGACATTGTCGTGGCTAATATGTTTGACTGGATTTATTCTTTCTTATTTAAATGGGTGTGGTTACTGTAAACTAGATTGATGCTCAACTAGACAGCTAGTACATTTCATTAATTGGTCACTAGAGGATGCAGTTGCTAGTTAATTAAACATTACTATTGTGAAGGGACCCATGAGATGATTTATTTGGTTACTAGTTTAAACTGTCTGTAAATTAGTGGAGATTGTACTGGGGAACGGAATACAATGAAGCGAATCAACAGGTAAGGGAAGGTGTGTTTTTGTAACTACCGTTGTTAGGGTAGGAACACAAACATCACTATTTTTTCTGTATGTGGGAGAACTTTCATGTAAGTGTCTACTCAAGAACCACAATATGAGAACGAAGTAGACTTAAAGCTCATGTGTGTGTCACAGGAACACGACTCTCTCCCGTGAGCCGAATTTCTTTTGGGATGGTGTTGGTCTGAAGCCAACTCCTAAGACAGAAAACACATTCAGGATGGGCCGCGTTATCTTACGTTCTGGCGCTAGTCTGGCTTTACTTTTAACCTGTTTTCCGCGCAACAGTGCGGTGATTTTCTTGCGGGTATAAGTGAATTACAGACACCTTGCCATCAATGTTAAATGAGCAAAATAATATTGATTAGTTGTTGAATAATGATCTTTGGAGTTGTCTCAGGATCGTGGCCGGTGGCTGTCGGTGTTGGACCTGAGGGTTCTGCTACCAGGGAGTTAGTTAGTTCATCAGTTCGTTGTATAACTGAATAAAATGAACGGAAGTTTGGTGTTAGGTGTGTGCACTGAACTGCTAAATATGCCAAAAATATGTACGCCAACATCAAATAGGCTTACACAAACATCTCTTTAAGATACACAGCTTTTTACATCATAGGAACGGTTGTAGGATACAGCAGCCGAAAGGTAAATACAATAATATATTTATTTTGTACAGTCTATACACAAACTTTGACGTTTATTGGTGTTGTAAAAATTATATAATATTAAAACATTTTGTTGTATAAAATATTATATTAGATTCTCTTCACCAGCCGTCAGACGTACGTTACTCTACACAACACCTCTTGATGAATATAACGTCTGACTACAATAAGCAACTTACCATGAAAATTGATAGCTACAAACAGAACTACGGATCATTATAATATATTGCATTAAATATCTAATAGTTTTTTAAAATATTTTAAATTGATAAAAAACCTGAAGACGACGGTATTATCCGTCGAAACATGTCGTTTTAATAAAAAGCGCTAGAAAATATAATGTAAAATCGTATTTACGATTAAGAGCGCTAATATAATATTTTATACAACAAAATGTTTTAATATTATATAATTTTTACAACACCAATAAACTTCAAAGTTTGTGTATAGACTGTACAAAATAAATATATTTAATCAAACACAAACATGACGCATATAAGATACAAATACAATAATGTTTGAAGTTAAGGTGTTCAGCGTGTTTCAGAGGTATGACACGTTGTATGCAAGCGTAATTAAACAGATCAACTGGGATGTAAGCTGTTACGAAGGTCAGACAAGTCTTTGTCTATCCGTAAATATTTTTGTACAGACCGAGTTGCGAAGCTCAGACTTTTCTCACATTACCGGAATACATACCGTAGTCTCTTCTGCAGTATTTGTTGAGATTTAATCGTCTTGTCCCAGCTCTGCATTTTCCACACTGATCCCGATCTGAAACGAAAACAGAAAGAATAGAAAATAGACAGGAGATGATAATTTCAGAGGCACTGTAAAAAAAAAGAAAAAAAGACGGGGATAGGAAACAAGACAAATCACATAACCCATTTTACGACTCGGTGCCTGATTCGTATAGAAAGATTGCACCTCCGTTCTCAATACGAAGTGTAATCCTACATGTCATCATCCATGACTCTGTTACCGCAAGACTGGCATATCAAACGCTTGTTTTGTATCTTGGAGTGATGGTGTAGCCAGGTTACCGCGTGTTTATGGATGCAAATAAAGTTGTGTTCATTTCATCTTAATTAATTTTTCTTTTCAGTATAAACTTGTCTGGTCTTTATTGGACAAACGCTTGAATTCGAAAACAGACGAGATTGGTTGTAGTCGCATCCGCTGGTGTTCGAACAGGTGCCTTCGAATTGTGGGAAGAATCAGTTTCATTGTGCAGGGCCCTAAACCACAACATGGCGCCACATAAATATTATGATTTATTAGTGGGGCAGCTAGACATTTGTAAAGTCACAGTATTTTATTTTGTGACTACGCGTCGTTAAATTCAATTTGAAACGTCTGCAACTTTTGTTCATCCGTTACTATTTTTTTTTTTTGTGGTGAGAGGAGGTCTTACGTAATGATCTCACAGCAGAAGGAAAATTGAAAACAATACAATAACGAAACAGATCTCCTGTTAATTTTTGAAACCAAAAGTACGTCCACCGTTCTTAAACTGTCGAAATTTTTGCTTTCCTCTTCTAGACTTGAAAAACAGGGACTAGAGCTGAAAAGTAAAGATTATTTCTTTATTTTTCGTAAGTACCTCACAGTTTTACTGTTCGGTTTAAGGACGCAATAGTTAGGATGACGATGTAAATTGAACACTTATTTTATGAGCACCCTTTTGCTATTTTGCACGTATAATTGATTTTCATGTCAATTTATTTTAGATACTCATCCATGACAAGTAACACATATATGCCACAGATCATGTATAATTTCATTTCGTTAAATGAACATTAATACATAACCGTTTCAGATCGCAATACGCTCTGTATTTTATATTACGTGACGATTTGTTCGTGGGAAATGAACTTTATGTAAAGTAACCTTTCTACAAGGCACATAGGGACTTAATTAAAATATCCCGACAAATTTCGTTATGGACATTTCGACAAAAATTTAATAGAAATTCGTCGAGTATTTTCGGAGTTTAATAACACGGAAAATATAAAAAATATATTACATTTTTTAGACATGAGTGTAATTTTCTATCAAATTAAAACCACGCTGTTGTACTTACTGTTTTAAACTCGAAACATCTATAAAGAAATGGCTCTTAATATAAATTTTAAAAATATACTTATGTATCTTATTAATTTATTTGAAATGCTTCAATTTGATAGTCTGCTCAATAAACGTGATAGTTGTATTTAGTTTTCAGATTCCGTAGCGGGGAATTAAACATTTTATAACAAAGTTTTAGTAATGCAGCCTACTCAAAATTGACTTAAAATCCAACAGTATTTTAGGGATTAAAATGTCCAACAGATAGAAAAATGGGCAGACATTTGTCGAACTGGCGGATATTGTGCATACGAAAGGAGTTTCCATCTTAATTTGAATAACGGTGAATATTCTATTACATTATATGGCTTAGTATAAACTTGTGACAGAAGCCACTCTTGCTGTGCGCAGTTCCACATATTGTGCCAGTGCAGTCTGTAGTTATGTACTGTTCGTTCCAGTCCCTAGTGCGAAATAAAAATCGCGCTGGTTTGATTCCATTTAAAATTTGCGGTGTATTTCATGGGTCAAAGGAGTAAGGAAGCGACGTGAAAGATTTTATGATCTCTAACGTCGCAGAGCAACTTCCTGCGACGAAACAGGAAAACGAAATGTTGACTGCACTCTGTGACAAACGACTGCACCTCACAATGATGTTGTAGTGAGTGTTTCATTATTCTAGGAAAATACGCAGGAAGACATTTTTAAATCATCTTGTAACTGATGTTTTAAACTTCTACAGCGAATAATTGCACTAAACGTCACTCAAGCGATCATTAGCGATCGTTGATTTTGAACATAGTTTTAACGTGGCTGATTGCCCGAGAGAATGTAATGCTTCACATAAAGACAATATTTACATGTTATTACAACTCGACCAGGCGTTCAGGAGGTGAACGAAGCTGATTGACTCATGAACCACCTTTTAGTTCCTGCTAAATGGCTTGAAACATTTGTAGGAAATTCGACGTTATAAGTTCTTCCTAGAACTTGTTTATTTATTTATTTCTGTTAGCCTGGCTGAAAACCAAAACGATAAATACATCAGTGAGGTTCAGGATAAGCTCCAAGGATTTAATCAAATGCAAGAATACACACGTAAGACCTCTCAGCTTATTCGTTCATTATATTAGATTGTATTGTGCACTCCGAAGCATCGGTCTGACGCTCGAATTCAAGTTTCCTTTTATTGTGGTGTCGAATCAAGCTTCTCGGTGATTGGGTAGGTGTCTGAACGGGACGGAAAGCGTTGGAATATAAGTAAAAACACCGTCGACTCGGACCCATTTCCTGGGTACTACTTTTCATTCTTCGCTGCAAGAGAAATAGAAACCTTACGATTCTCGTTCGCTTTGGCGATCAGCCGAAGTGAGTTATGCCTCTTGTGCTGAACGCAGTAGGCCTGCTGGCTCATAGTCCGTACGTACGCGTATAAGCAAATCCCAGTCTCTCTACATCCAACTGTGGAATTATTCAGCGCTGGGTGGGGATTTGCCAACCTACGGATTTACCAAGAATAATTTCCTTGCAAGCCCAAGTCGACATATCCATTCAATAAAACACGATTTCAGTCCTGCCTTTTATAAACCTGTTGGGGCTAGAGGACTAGAAAGGGACTAAATTTTATGCTCATTGCATTCGCATCAATCTTTTGTCTAAACTTATTCTTTTCCACTTTCTTGCTGTTTCTAACTTGAATGCAAATTTCACTGCAGTCTGTATTCTAATTCCGGTCCTATCTTCATGGGTATAAACCCTATTGAATTATGTTAGGCCGAAGTGTGATTTGGAAGAAAGGGGGTAGAACAGCTTTCTCTCCTCAAACCTCTTCAATAGTGATTGGATTGGCTAGGGTGACTTTCAAGACAGTGCTCTTTGACAAGAAATCTTATGTAAATCGATATGAGAGAATGCATTTTATGATTTCAGTTTCTTAAGACACCAGTTTCATGGTTTCATGGTAGCAGAACAATTCGGGCATTTGTTCATATAATTCATGCGCCGCATTTGTTCATATAATTGTCCGCAGTCTATTTCACGTCCACCATTACTTTGACACTGTTTGAAACTAGAATATATTTTACCTTTCAGTTTCACGATTACAAATTCGTTGGATTGAAGATTCTAGAGGGTAAAATATGTTTGAGACTTAAAATGACTTTTTATAGGCGACTGGGCAGGCATGAGTTAGTGGCACAGACACAGAAAAAAATAGTTTTACGTCTAAGATAAATCAACTCAAATCAATATCCATGTTCGTCCGTCGCACTGCATTGTATTCCATAATTGTGATGTTTGAATTTCGTGGTCTGACGACGAAAGAGTGGAAACCTACTGCTCTCATCAGTTATAATCAGTGTAGAATATCGGAATTAAATTCGAATCCAGGACCGTAATACTGCAATATGAATGTAGAGCATTCTTTCTTCGTGTGTACCCTGGTATATGTTGGAACTTTTTTAAGGAGCGATTATGAAACGCGAACACCAACTGCTTTAATAATTAATGCAAGTATCAGAAACCTACACAAAGATCTCAAAATTTTTCTTTCAAGTTTTTCCGACTTAAATGTGTACCTGAATTATTAATCTCTCTGGGGTCTCGGGTTCGATTCCCGGCGGTGCCCGAATTTATAACTTGTGTTGGGCAAGGCCGTGGTCTAGGCAACACGGAGTTTTCCTCCGTGGCATCCCAACAATTACTCCATTCACACACAGAAGAAGGCAAGGGCAAACCACTTCTGGATCACCAGAACAAAAATTCTTTTGTACAATGTCCGATAATTTAAACTCATTATCTGCGTCGGAAGTTTTACTAAAAAATGTTATTTGAAAACTGAAGGCAACAAAGGTAAGGGATTGCTTGAAAATTTCTGGTTAAAATAGCATTATCGTTGTAGGTCTATGACTGTTAAAATGACCCAGTTCACTGACTTGTAACATATCTCACAGGACTAAACAAGTTTCAGAGTATTATCTTGAAATATAGATAGGCTTTGACTTTTTAAACTCTAATTAAAATGATATTATCTAATTATAATCCATATAGATTTTGGATAAAAAGTTATTACATTACATGCATAAGCCTCAGTTTATACATAAAAGATGATTCTTGTTTATACTACTACTGATATTACATAATTAGTTGTAAACTTTCTCATCTTGTCTCGTGCGTATTATAAAATGTAAGGAGAAGTTTTATGCTAATTTGATTGTGTAGTGGTAGAGCTAAGCCAGGCTTACGTAGTATGGACTCCACTAATTGGCCGCTTTAGGAGCTTTCAGATGTTGTTCCATGTAATGTATACAATGGATCTTGTCGGATTCTCATATACACCACAATTTAATAAAGTATAAAATCCCCACCGGGTTTCCTTTGCATCTTAATAGGTGATTTCACGCCATTTTTTTTTATTTATAACTTTGTATTTTAAGTAGCTGTTAAATTACTCTGCCTGTTAGATATTAAGTACTGCCATTTATATAAAACTTTTTCATGACAATGTTTGCTTTTATAAAGTATTTTTGCTAGTACAGAATGAAACAGTGTAGCCTGTGAACTATGTGACATAATTTCCAGCGTTTAGTTAAATATTTTACAGTCGTTTGTTATCTGAAGTTATTAATTAGTGGAAATATTTATTTATGGCCTGTATGACGAATTAAATACAATACCAGTGGTGATTTTAGAATACAACATTAAAATGA